CAAAGAATTCGTCGACAGTGTCGTGTCTCGGTACGGACGCCACTGTGGCATTACTATTAGCCCAGCTGCTGCGTCTGCGGGCGGAGGTGGTGCCGCTGGCGGAGCTATGATTGACTCCAAGGAGCTGGAGCGGCTACGCACGGAGCAGAACGACGCTTTCAAGCAGCTTCACCTGGCACTCGGGAAGATTTTGGACAGCGACGGCGACGAGCTTGTTCAGAAGCTAGCGCACAGCGAAGAGCTATGGCAGGAAGCCGACCAGAAGTTGGAGGCTTGGCAGGCTGAGTTCGGTGACGGCTTCTTGACTCGCATCTCGCCCATCTTCGACGCGAAACGTGGTCGCAGCTATGACGCCTGGTGGAACTGGGCTCGCGTCGATATTGCCTCGCTGCTGCTGGGACCCGGTAGCACTGCGAACGAGGAGAAGATCTGGCAGGTGCTGAATCGCTCGAATCCCAGCGCCTTCGATCTAGTCAAGTATCACATTGCCCACCCATTACGCCACAGTGACAAGCAGCTGCAGATCCAGCCCTTGGAGCAGCTGTTCCAGGGTTACCGTGACGCACTCCAAGGAGACTCCGTCTTCATCCACCGGCTGCCACCTCTGGGTCCTCGTACCATTGTCAGCCCTAAGGGAGTTATCGAGTACCAAGAGGTCCCTCGCACCATTGGCGGACGCCCAGATACCTACGTCGAGCTACTCAAGCGCGGAAGTCGCTTCGACGCCCCCATTGCCGACAGTCTACCTTTCGTTCGGCTCTGTCGTCCTCAAGGCAGTGCCTGGAACTACGATAATGGTCTCACATCCAGCTACCTCGATTCTGTCCAAGCGGTCACATCCATCGGTATCAGCTTCTCCGGTAAGACGGTGCTGATCACCGGTGCCGGACCCCAATCCATAGGTGCTGAGATCACGCGTGGCCTGCTCACAGCTGGTGCCAATGTCATTGTCACCACCAGTCGTTCCAACATGGACTTTTATCGCAGCCTATACCGCGACTTCTGTGGTCGGGGTTCGTCCTTGACAGTCTTCCCCTTCAATCAGGCCAGTCGCCAGGACTGCGAGGCCCTCATTTCTCATCTGTACAACAACGCACTGGGTACTGCAGGTGACATTGACTGCGTGATCCCGTTCGCCGCCATATCCGAGAACGGTCGACAGATTGACGGACTCGACGGTCTGTCCGAGGTGGCTCACCGCGCCATGCTGGTCAACCTTCTGCGCCTGTTGGGTTGTATCAAACAACAAAAGGAGGCCCGTGGATACGGGGCCAACCCGACGCAGGTCATTCTGCCGCTCTCACCCAACCACGGTACCTTCGGCGGGGACGGGCTCTACTCGGAGTCCAAAATTGGCCTGGAGACGCTCTTCAACCGCTTCAAGTCCGAGAGCTGGGGTGACTACCTGACCGTGTGCGGCGCCGTCATCGGCTGGACGCGTGGCACAGGGCTAATGAGCGCCAACAACATCGTGGCCGAGGCCATCGAGGCAGAGGACGTAATCACCTTCTCGTCGGCGGAGATGGCATTGAATATCATGGCGCTCATGACCCCGGCCATTGCAGAGGCTTGTGAAGACACGCCCGTGTACGCGGACCTGGGTGGTAAGATGGAGCAACTGGCTGACCTTAAGGGTTTGTCGACTGCCGCCCGTAAGCAGGTGCAACACCAGGCTCGCGCACGCAAGGCCATTGCAGCCGAGGATGAGTTGCACGAAAAGCTGTTGAAGGGCCCAGAGGAACAGCAGCAGCCGATCACTGCTCCAACTACACGCAAGCCGCGTGCCAATCTGACGGTAGGCCATCCAGATCTGCCGGATTACGAGGCCATGACGGCAGGTATTCAGCTGCCCGGGCGTGACATGATCGACTTGAACAAGACTATTGTCGTGGTTGGCTACTCCGAGCTAGGACCTTGGGGTAGTGCCCGCACACGATGGGACATGGAGCGAGCCGGGGATCTCAGCCCCGAGGGGTACGTCGAGATGGCCTGGATCATGGGTTTGGTCAAGCACTTCGAGGGCGACCAGCAGGGATCTCCCTACGTGGGCTGGGTTGACGCCAAATCCAACCAGCCTGTCCACGAGGCCGACTTCGCAGAGAAGTATGGCGAATATATCCACGAACACGCCGGTTTGCGCTTCATCGAGCCAGAACTCTACGATGGCTACGATCCTGCCAAGAAGGAGTTCCTGCAGGAGGTGGTGGTGCAGGAGAATCTACCTATCTTCCAGGCGACTCGTGCTGTCGCTACCGCGTTCAAGACAAAGCACGGCGACAAGGTCTCAATCTCTCCGGCTGGAGAAGATGGGGAGGAGTACAATGTGCAATTTAAGCCCGGAGCTCGATTCTTGGTGCCAAAGGCGCAGCCGTTCGACCGACTAGTGTCGGGCCAGCTGCCTACGGGATGGGATCCAAAGGCGTATGGTATCCCAGCGGACATTGTCTTGCAGGTAGATCCGATCACGTTGTATGTCTTGTGCTGTGTGTGTCAGGCCATGTTGAGCGCCGGCATCCAGGACCCCTACGAGCTATACAGACACATACACGTCTCGGAGCTGGCCAATTGCATTGGCACGGGCGCAGGCGGGTTGATCGCTATGCGTGGTGTGTACCGCGATCGGTATCTCGACCGTGACGTACAGAATGATATCCTGCAAGAGTCGTTCCCCAATGCCATGGATGCCTGGGCGAACATGCTGCTCATGGGTGCGGCGGGTCCCATCAAGTCCCCGTCAGGAACATGCGCCACGGCCATCGAATCGCTGGACACGGCTTGTGAGGGCATTCAGGCCGGCAAGGTCAAGGTGGCCCTTGTGGGTGGCACAGATGACCTGCAGGAAGAGATGTCGTACGAGTTCGCCAATATGAAGGCGACAGCCAACACGCTGGAAGAGCTAGCGCGCGGTCGCACTCCACGAGAAATCTCTCGCCCGACAGCTAGTTCCCGCGCAGGATTTGTCGAGTCTGCAGGATGCGGTGTACAAGTGCTCATGACGGCGCAGTTGGCGCTCGACATGGGAGTGCCCATCTACGGCATCGTCGCATACTCACAAATGGCGGGCGACAAGATCGGTCGCTCTGTGCCTGCACCAGGTAAGGGCATCCTGACCGCTGCCCGTGAATCGACTACCGCATCGCTGTCACCTCTTCTGGATGCCACATTCCGCCAGAAGCAGTTTGAAGAGCTGCGAACGCAGATCCAGCAGGGGGCGGCTCGCCAGCTTCAGCAGGCCCGACAGGATGGTCAGCTCTCGCCACACCTGGCCCAGGTCATCGACAGGGCTGCAGCATCACAGATTCGTCAGGCCCAGAATCTCTACGGGCTAGATCTACGACAGCAAGAGCCCGGTATCTCACCCATTCGCGCAGCACTGGCTGTATGGGGTCTCACGGTCGATGATATCGCGGTGGCCTCATTCCACGGCACTTCGACCAAGGCCAACGACAAGAATGAGTCGGAGGTGATCAACACAATGATGAGCCATCTCGGCCGCACTAAGGGTAACCCGGTTATGGTCGTGTGCCAGAAGTACTTAACGGGCCACCCCAAGGGTGCCGCAGGAGCATGGATGCTGAACGGAGGCCTGCAGATCCTGCAGTCAGGAATCGTGCCAGGCAACCGCAACGCAGACAACGTTGACTCGGTCCTGCAGCAGTTCGACCACCTCGTGTACCCCGCCGAGTCTATTCAGACACGTGGCGTGCGTGCCTTCATGCTCACATCCTTCGGATTCGGCCAGAAGGGCGGTCTGGTAGTGGGTGTGTCTCCGCGCTATCTCTTTGCCGCGGTGGATCAGACGCCCTACGAGGCCTATCGCATCAAGGCCCTCCGACGCTGTGAGATGGCCAACCGTGCCTTTATCGAGGGGCTCAACACAAACAGTCTGTTCCAGGCCAAGGCATCGTCCGCCTGGGCGGCCGAGGACGAGATGCGAGTGTTCCTGGATCCGTTGGCGCGAGTTGCCGTTGACGACGGCAGCTACTATTTCGATGCCAAATGCCTGCATCCTGATTCAGAGGACTCACTTTCTGAGACGAGCTCCGGAGTCTTGACTGCCGTGGAGACGCCCTCAACGCCCACCAGCGAGCCGCTGATGAACGCGTGCCAGAAATGGGTGGAGGGGGCTGTGTCGACGGACGGAACGACCTCGGTAGGTGTGGACATTGAGTCTGTGACTGCTATTAATGTCGAGAACGACGTATTCCTGGAGCGGAACTACACTGAAGCCGAGAGAGAGTATTGCCATGCTGCACCAGATCCGGCACACTCGTTTGCAGGCCGTTGGGCAGCCAAGGAGGCCGTGTTCAAGAGTTTGCAGGTGCCGTCCAAGGGAGCAGGGGCTCCGCTCAACGATATTGAGATTCTCAGTGATGGTGGGATTCCAACTGTTCATGTGAGTTGCTCTGTTCCTGAATATGTAATGATCACAGACTAATGAGTCAGCAGCTACATGGTGAAATCAAGAAGCTCGCTGAAGAGAAGCAGCTGGCCAAGGTTCAGGTCAGTATTAGCCACTCGGGCGAGCTTGCCATGGCGGTGGCTGCCACTACGTTTGGTCCTGCTGAGAAGGAGTGAATGTTGTTACAGAGGGAGAAATAGAGCGTATGAAAAGATCCAGACTGTACAGATTGACTTGGACACTTGGTTTTTGATGATTGCAATTCTTTTGTTTGTAATGAGTACTATGAGCTTTATGATCAGACATTACTATATCTATCACAATATATTTGCAGCAACTATCATTGTCATACTTTTACAAGCCAAACTTTTAGGCCGATGAGAGACACAGGTAATTCTGTATTCATTCCCTCGGCACATGGATGATGCTCCCCTAGACAGTACATCCTGCAGAAACAAGAATAGCATAATATCGCGGTTGTCAATCCTTATCATGTCTATCCAAATCAGCAGCTGGATCCCGCTGCCCCTGGCTGAATCGCCACATGGGAGGGCGCAGTCTCGATTGCTAGAGCTTTACTAAATCAATGCATATTACGATGACCTCAACCGTGCTGTATTTAGCTCACTGCATAATTCCAGACCAAGTAAATACCTGTTTTCTCACTCCTGGTCCAGGGGAAAGAATTCTTGGATGGTACAGTGGTCCATAACCTTAAAAACCGGTTAAACCCGTAGTTCCTGGACACTCTGGTGGCTCAATCCTTGACCAACACCCTACATAGAGTATTTGCTGTATATTATCAAACATCATCATATTTAATTATTTTATTTTTCTTATTCTTATTAAAAGTCTTAAATAAATCATACTTTTTGATCAATTTTACTGGCAGTATTCACCCGATGGCCGCCATTAACCGCCGTACCCTATTCAACTTTGCTCATTATTCCCAGCTCCGGATCTCACAACTCCACACAAGGAAATTTTCCCTCGAGATTGCCAAAGAAGATGACTTTCTCGAGCTCATAACCGCACAGTGGAAAACGTTTGACAATCCCCCGCAGGGCATTTTTCGCCTCTTCTTCCCCATCGAAGATGGCGATTGGGAGAAGAGCCTGCAGAGAAGTATCCAGGACCAGCGCACGTCATTCATCAAGGAGCAGCCGACCGTCAAGTGGATCAAGGTCATGGATGTAGAGACGGAACGGATCGCGGCCGCTGCCAAATGGTATTTTTTCGACAATGCCAGCGCTAAAGCCAAATACCCACCGGTCGAGGTTGATTGGTATCCCAAAGGGGTGATCAGGAACTTTGTGACTCAGGCCGTGCAGCAATATGAGCAGCCACGGCATGATATGGGCCAAGGGCCACATGCATGCAAGTCTATCCTGTTGTGAACACGATTTGGTTCAGGACGGAGAGCAATTCTGTTGCTACAACATTCCTTACTGAGGGAAACAATTCTGGGCCTTGGCATCCAATAGGTAACTGACACTTTTACATAGACCTTCACATTGGTTTCACAAGACCGGAGTATCAAAAGCAAGGTCTCGGTAGTAAGTGGATGGAATGGGGGCTGGCAGAGGCGGACCGATTGGGGCTGGAGACCAGACTGGATGCTACTGATTCGGGCGTACCTCTGCACGAAAAGTACAACTTTCAGGTAGCCAAGGTGCATGAATTGAGGCCGGCAATGCCCGCGAGCCTGACGAGGAGTGAGATGCGGGAATGGAAACGCTGCGAAGAGGAATTTCTACCCATTCGCACCACTGTGATGGTGCGCTTCCCAGGTGGAGTTCCCGCTGCAAGCATGGAGGTTCAAGGAAGTCAGTAAAAGAGGAAAAAGTCCGTATATAAGAATATTACTGCGTGTGTAGTTTCCACTTGTGGAGAGACATAAATACACGGCAGATTAAGATCCGGTGAGACAAAGACCATTTCTTTTACAAGATGATTACGAACATGTCCTCAATTTATGTTTTAATTTCCGTGAAAGAAAATTATTTAACGGCATCCCCCTTTGTCCACGAGTCATAAACCAGAATCCCGAGGACAACAAACTATCCCAGCGGCAATTTCCTTCAAAGGGGCTTACAAGATGAGTAGAAGTCCAATATATTGGTAGAAGGGGCCCGATATGTCAGCCTTTACAGCCGATCACTAGGCTTCCTCCTTGATTATCGTTAGCTGCTCAGGATAATATCCCTGCTTTTCCAGGGTATATAGGTGTAGTCATCATTCGCTGGCCCATTTTACTGCTTCCATTTGCCTATATTCTCCTCCAATGCCTCTCAAAGTTCAGGGCCGTCAATCACAGCCTCACCACCCAAAATTGTGATCGCCTCTGCCTCCCCTTACGAAACATTTTGAAGGTTACCTGGCCTACTCATACCGCTCATCCCAAACTATATTCGGCCGTCTGTTGGATCTACTCAGCAGCAAGATGAGATATCTCTGGAATCTACATAGTAGAGGTCAGTATAGCATAGCTGGCAATGAGGAATACTATGTTTAAGTGGGAGAGAAGAAAGTAAATTGCAAAGCTAACATCTGGGTCAATTAGGTCGGTGGTTTCGTTGCTATGAAGTGTACGGTCCTGATCATGAATTCGGTTCCGATCGCCCCGAGGCGCTGAAAAAGATTAAGCAGCTGTGTGAGGAGCCGGACAAGCTAGATGAATGGGAGGAAACTCAATTTCCTGCTCCGGTAGGTTCGCTGGCAGGCAGAGTCTACACCGTGAATTTGGATGCTGGCACACTAGTAGTGTCCTACCTCAATTTCCCAGAGTATGAAGCCCAGATAGTGACTGACTGGTATGATCTGCACACGGTACGTGAGGCCTCTAGCTTGTCTGCAGCGGGACTCCGTGAGGATCTGAAGGAACTACCTACGCATGTCCCTGAGGAAATTATGAATAATGGATTGGCGCAGCCGCCGCTGGAACCAGTGCATCTCCGCTTGGATATCCCGACTTTCCTGAACGAACTGCAAGCCCGATTGTTCATCGATCTTATGTGGGCCTGGCGCTGGCACGTTTGCGATCCGATAACTATGCGTTATGATTCGCCGGCGTTGAATTACTTTTGTATCGCCATCTTACGTCTTGCAGCTTGGGATTTCGAGGTTTCATTTGACACCGACGTTGACCTCCCAGTGACAGATTATCCTGATGTACCCTGGAGCTGCCCCAAAGGTGACATCTACTGGTTCCATGGATTCCTTGTTGTTCTACACAACAACCTGGAGGATCAATCCATGATCCGCTCAGCCGTTCAAAAGGCTGAGCAGTACCTTGAGAAAACCGCATCCCAGAGTCATCACACCCGCTTGATAATCATTTCGACATGCCATGTTGTTTTTGCAGAGATCTCAGACGACACTGTCCGTGCAAGCAGCCCAAGTATGCTGATTTCGGATATGTCCAGCGGCCGGTGGCCTGCGGGTTTCCGTGCCCTCTGCCAGATCCTCACAACAAACTGCTGGGGACAAAGCAAAACGCACCGGGAGACATGGAAGCCTCACCTGCCTGCGGAAATTGTTCAACTCATCCTGCAGCATCTGGAACCACGCGATGCGGTAGCATTCGCACAAGCGTCTTTCATTGCCGAAAGATGGTATTACGCAAGTATACACCAATTCAAAGACCTTGTCGTACAGAGCTCCCGGTTGCTAATACCGTGTTGCGGCAAGCGCAGCGGACTCGAAGAGTCCGGGGTGATGTGCTCAGTTTGCTACTCCTGGCAACACAGTGACTGCCTTGACCAAGCTAATCTTCCGAGTGATATTTGTCCCCACTACATTTGCTCGCGCTGTCGAAGTGGTGAGCCAGAATTTCTCATGGGTCCCGAAGCCATGCACAACTTTTGGCGTAAAGGAGCATGCAAGGTTCGACACGAAAGTACTCTCAAGAGGTTTTGGCTACAACAGAATTGGCTACAACAGAACAAACGCGTTTCTAGTAAAATGCATGGGTCCAGACACTATCTTGCGGACATCGACTATACAGTCCGGTTTAATGGTGCTTTTTCTGGTTTGGCTTATGGCTTCGACGACCGTGACTTGGACGATGATGACACTGACGCTGATGGTTATGATTCCGATGGCTACGACGATGTTAGCTACGACAATAGTGGCTATGAGTATGATGACTATGACGATGATGGCTATGACAATCATGGCACTGACCATAATGACTTTGATGATGAACCCTGAGAGTGCCTTGCTATCCGGGTAATCAAAGCGTAGTTGAGATGGTGCAAATAGAGAATAGAAAATATAAGGAGGGCAATTCAAATTTCTAGCGCTTTAGACGCATCTCACGCCCTCATATTTGTTCCATTACTTATAACCATACCCTTCGGGACTGTCAGACTGTACTCATCCACGCTCCACCGTCTCCCGCGCAGGCATATCATGTAGTGCCATGTGCCTCAACATCCGGTCAATCTGGACACTATCTCTGCGTACATGAGAAGCATGCTGCTCCTGAGATCGACCGGATAGTGCCCATGGCACAAGACGCTCATGTTCAGACAGCAGTCCATGATACTCGTAAAAGTAGACCGACTGACCCTGAACCAATACTGCCCAACAACTTTCCACCCCTGGAATTCGGTGCTGAATGGAATGTCGAAGTCGATTGATACAACCCTGAAGTGAATCATCCACTTCCGATCTAACCACGACGTGATCGACGATCTTGCGACCCTCGGAAGAATGTGGCTGAATGCGGCGAATTAAGTATTCAAAGCCTGTAGAGCACTTGCTGCCTGTTGATATGGGTGCGACTATGAACCCTTCATTGATAGGGAAATAATAAGAGAGAACACCAGGTGTCATTGCTTTCACAGCGTCCTCGTTTCTTGGGTCCTCCTCGACTCGTCGGATAAGTTCATTGAGGATGGGCATGGTGAGATATTCTGCCATGGTTGGTGGTCGAATTCAAAGGGATTTTGAACCTGAGTATTTGCAGTGTGGGTGAGCTCTGGGATTATCTAGCAGCTAGGAGAAAGGGGGACTTGATAGAGGGGTGTAGCGAAGCTCGAGCTGACCACTTCGCCAAGGTGGGGGAGATGTTCTTGTCTCTCGCAAAATAAGCAGGAAAATGGCCGAGGATCGGCAGTGATCGTCGCTTATCTTCTTAAATTCAGGTAGTCGGCTTCCTCTTGTTCTGTCTAACTTTTCCCTTATTGTCTATCATATTAATTGACGTCACATATTAACATATCTAATCATTTCCCAGTATGCAATCCTGAACCAGCCTTATACTGGCTCATCATCCTCCCATCGCCAGAACGCCACCTGAGACTCCCAGAGAGCCCAGGCCTATGTGCATGTAATGATATACGAACGAAACAGAACTAAAAGTTTATACCCAATACCTTCGATGCATGGTTCATGGTCCCCAAGCCTCACCCTCACTCTATCCCTCCTTTTCTGATGTATCGTGTGACAACCGCACAACCCATCACAATTCCAACTGAGATGACTTTCTGACGCTGCCACCATACTTGTAAAACAGCATTGGCACTGGAATCATCCCAAGTGTAACGAATCCCAGCAGGGAATTACCCCATCCGTAGCCCAAAGTCGAGTACATGCGCGGTCCCGCCAGGGGCAGCAGAGCACCCATCAGCGACCGTGTGACCACCATCGCGGCGGTACCGGAGGCAGCATACCGAGGATAGCAGTCGATCACGTAGGTCTGCAATGTATTGTAAATACCCACCATGCCGAACGCAAAAGGCGCCAGGCCAATGATCGGCACAATCCAGTGCGTATGCTCCTGCGCAGACCATCCGTACCAAAAGAACGAGACAGGGATGAAGAAGGCAAAGACGATGGTGATGGACAAACGCATTTCCGGCTCAAAGACGTTGTTGTTGCGCAACTTCAACCGTGTGATGATACGGTCACTGACCAAGGCAAAGACTATCTGGCCACTGATAAAGCCGACACCGAGACCGAGATACGCGAGGCCACTGATCTCCGTGCTCCAGCCGTAGGACTTCTTGAAGACATCGGTCACTGTGGTAAAGAGCAAGTAGAGACATCCGTAGAGTGTGGCCAGATAGGTGGCAACTGGGAAGACGATCGGCGAACGGACCAAGAGGTAAAATGGCATGATCAGCCGCTTGCCGAGGGTGCCTGTATAAGAACCTTTGGCATCCGCTCCATTGGGTTCGTAGCAGCTGTATAGTTCGGGACGATTGAGCTCCTTGCGGAGGCGCTCGGTCTTACGGCGTATGATTACGACGTGGTTGGTCTCACGGTTGAAGATCATGACCAGAGCAGAGAGCGTGCCGCCCGCAATGACCAGCACCCAGAACACCTAACAGGATATCAATGTCAGTTGTGTGGATGAAAACGCAGGTGAAAATGACTTACCCAGTGCCAACCCGCTCGCTGAGCGATAAAACCTCCAAGAAGCGGTCCCAGAACAGGTCCGATCAAGATACCTGTTGTATACACTGCCATTGCAATTCCACGCTGTTCGGCCACAAATAAATCGGCCACCACACCACCGCCTGTGGTCAAACAAGCCGATCCACCAACGCCCGTTAGGAAACGAAAGACGATTAGTGCAGAGATATTGGGGGCTAGCGCGCAGCCAATCTGGAAGGCGACAAAGAACGTGTTGGCCGCACTGAGGACGATCCGTCGGCCATACATCTCACTCAGCGGAGAGAAAAAGAGAGGACCAGTCTATATGGCAATTTCGGTAAGCACGAGTCATGTTCTTGACAAAATGGAGACCGCACATACCACATAACCGATGAGATAGCCTGTGACCGAGAGAGTTCCCAAAATAGTCGATGTGACATCAAATTCCTCCTCCGCATACACCACACCTGGAGAGAAGACCGAAGACGCGAATGGACTGAAGAGGTCGTGAGTAAAAGCCAGTCACCTGTTTATTTGGAAGAAGTCTCAGCATACCTGATGAATGTGATGGTACTGACCAGTATCATCAAAAACCACTTCTGAGACACAGGAAAATTCCTATTTCGTGTCAGATGCTAGATCTTACATGGTGGCAGATGTGACCGGTTATCTCTCACCTCGGATTTGTTGGGTCATCCTCGCCGTCCCATCCTACCATGTCCTTCTCCAGGTCTATCACAGGGTGCACGTCGGGTCTCTAGTAACTTGCCGTTAGTCAACGGCTCACTAGTGGAAATAATACTTGATGACAGCGGAAATCAATGCCTACCTTACCGCCGGCCATGGCGCTGGACGAATCCTTGCTAGTGATTGGTTGTTTGTATTCTCAGAAAATCGAAGTCGAAGTTTATAGTGGTAAAAGTTGCACTAATGATCGAGCAAACAATCGCATAGTTTGGATGGTGCTCAGCGCTTGTTCGTGGGTTAGTTGCGCCTGGGCACCATTCTATGAGAGATATATAAGGGGGCCGCGATACATCCTTCAGGGAGGCTCGGGCCGCGCAGACTTCAAAATCTGACAGATACATCCCAAAAGGAGTCGTGCAATGCACTAAGCATATCTTTCCGGCACGCAATTGACCGCCACGTTGGATCCGGCCTTGTGCAGTGGTTGAGATCAACGCGTCTGGACTTGCAGCGCCGGTTGGTCGGCACTCGGCCTGCGAGGCCCGATATTTGGGTTAGACCGACCCATTGCGCTGCCGCCCGTGGTTCGGACTCTCACCCAGCAGCCACTCGGATGTTGGGTGGTCAAGGTCTCGGATTGGACGAGAAGGAAAATAGAAGATAGACAAACAACTAAGGGAGGGAAAAATAAAAGGAGGAAAACAAAAAAGACATGAGGGTTCATAATCAGTTGCCACGCGCACGCGGCACCACGCTCAGCTATTATCGGTCGGATCTTAAGGCGCCCGGCATTGGACACTAGTACCCCCAAACCACAATCACATTACAAGTCGGTCTAGAACAGATAGTCGAAGCTGAGTAAATCCCCCGTCATCCCGTCAAATTCCCCAAACTCTCTCCCGAACAGGTAATCCTCGCCTTCCGTAGGTCGTTGCAAATTAAAGGGTCGCGCTTCCAGGTAGTACGTCTGATCTCCGAGCCCTGGCTCCGGTCCATAAGTGGCAGCAGCCCCGGCCAGCGCCTCCATAACTCGCTCAGCTGTCTGGGGAGTGGTGTTTTCGGGCGCCGGAGTTGGCATAGTTGTACATGGCGCACCTGGTTGGAGCGGGGGAACCACATACCCTGACGGTACCGGGGTGGAATCTAAATGAGATAACGGAGGCTGTGATACAGGAATCATGCCGTATGCTTCGACCGGATTAGACTGGGAAGGATGCGTCTCCACGCCCCGTGTGAATGACCCTGAACTGGGGGCAACCACTTCACCCGCTCCAGGACCGTTATATCTCTGAATCCCCTGAGGTGATGCAGCATGACCCTGTCTTGTTGTCGGTCCCGTATACGGCTCGCTGGCTTTATCCGCAACTGCCTCTGCGGTGTCATTCGGACTTTGCGACTGCGAGCCGTGATCCGATTTAGTGAACGTAGCTGTCAATACCTAGTCGCTTACGTTAGCCTGGAATCGTCAACATGGAACATCGCTGGTCGTACCGTTAATGCCACATGCAGGCGACGGGAATGAGAACTGTAAGGGGTGAGGCACATCAGCATTCTCTTTGCTGTGTTCAAATCCATTTTGAGATTTCTTGCTGTGTCCGGGTTCTTAGAGCCCACCACCACATATATCAATGATAGACCTGCTGTGCAGACCATGTACGCAATCCTCCAGTGTGCTCCATATAGGAGACCGTCCCGGTGCATATCCTCGGTCAAATGGATAAGATTGCGGCTGGCGTCAACACACGCCGAGGCGTACTTGTGAAATCCGTGTTCGGCATGGCCGTTTCCCTCGGTGCTGTCGACGAAGTAGTGCAGGAACGGTCGATATAGAAGAATTTGGACGTGTGCATATGTCATCCATAGCTCGTATTTCGCCCTGCGACCTGTTAGCTGGGTGGAACTTAGTGGGACCGTACTCATGGTGACCTTACTTCTCTAAGTGGGGGGCGTATCGACTTGTTCCCCGTTTATACCCCAGTGGGAGCGATGTGGACCACTTCTGCAGCTCCGCTTCGAGCTGCGTGACAATGTCGTTGCTCACCCGGTGGCTCATGGATCCGCTGTTGGTTTTGCGCCGGACGCCTCCTGACGGATAAAGCTCTCGAACTATTCGATCCAGAATATTGTGGAGCTTCAACAGCGCGACAGAACCAGACATACTCCGAATCAGTGCCGGGTCTTGTAAGGCTTGTGATATCCTGGTCGACTTAAGGTCGTTATCGTCCAGATCTAGCGGCTGTTCGATGTCGACTTCGTTGCTGTTGATCGGCCGCGGATAGCCGCACATCGAGGCTACGACCATCAGTAATTGTCGCAGAGACCAAAAAAGTCGCCTCTTGATCTCGGCGACGATTAGATTGTCCCTCGTATTCGGCAGCTGGAGATTCATGCGAACAGCGAGAGAGAATGCGTGTGACAGGCATGTATAGCACGGTGATAGCCTCTCCGTGCTCAAGATGAATAGGTTCATATAGAAGATTGCTTGTAAGGTAACGATATCATTGCAGTCGTGCAGATCCACTAGATCACGGCATGTGGAGAAATATTTCGTTCTGCTCGCGTTAGCATGGTTTTAGTCAAAACGACACGGTGGAATGAAGACATACCTCTCCGCGGTCATGTCGTCCCCGCTTTCAGAGGAGCCCTCGCCGATCTTCTCAAACAGGCAGCCCAACGCCATGAGAGCGTAAACGAGCGGGATATGGCGCATTTCCCCTTCCCCATAGTCGCTCCGATCCAGGCTGTAGAGGAGTTCGAACGCCGAGTCAAACGTGGGTCGGTGCACGACATGATAGAGGACGCTTGCATCCAGCGCTATATTGATTAGGTGCTCCGCTCGCTCACGGGGTGGTAAGCAGACGACCCGCGGTGCCGGGTTGGCTGACTGGAACAATTTCACCCCGGGTTTCTCTCGTATACGTAGCCGGCTGTCGAAGTCTGCGCCGGGCCAGTCTCCCAGCTCCGCCTTGAGGCGCTCAATAAAAGCACGGTCGGCGGATGAAAATCCGAAGCGAGCTTCTCCTTGGCTTGACTGGGCCTGAGGCTGGGAATCTGTCGGGTTGTGGCCGACATCATTGGCGCCGGCTGTTGACGGGGGATGGAGTTGCGACGCCGAGCTGGGGGACTGAGATGAATCTTTGGTGGCAGAAATGGTCTGATAGGATTCCTCCATCGCCTTGACCCTCTTCTCCAACTCCTGCAGACGATCGAAATGGGGGGAAGCTTTGCGCTTGCGACGTGGCTCCGGATACACACATTCTGTACCCGTTAGCTTGTCCCCAGCCTACCGTCTGTGGTCTTATCGCGACACAATTAAAAGGGCCTCGCACCATTGAAGGAGGTGCGACAGTGATTGCAGGTAGAGACGCCGTCACACTTGATTTTCATCTGGCGACAGCGCTCGCATGCCCGGCGAGTACGATCCTTGGGTCTCCCGGTGGCATCGGAATGGGAGGCATTCCCATTCGGGGGAGGGGGCATCTGAAAATGGCGGAACATGATGAGAGGGGGATGAGGAAAGACCTGACTGCGATGCAGTCATTGGGAGGAGAGGATGTAATGGAATGGAATGGAAATAGAGATCAAAATGCGACCATAGCAAGTTGAGTTGTGGGGGTCGAGGAAGAGAAAGGAAGAGTAACAATGTGGATGGAAGATGAGTGAGTGAGTGAGCAGTAAGTAGTAGCAAGTGAGGTGAAAGTTCCAGGTTCCAGTCAGAATGCCGCCCGATCGCTGAGGTTCTCGCCAATGACGCACCACCAAACAACAGCCTGAAGGATCACGTGGTGACTGGAGGGGGGAGATTGGAAGGAGCCGCGGCCAGTGGTGGTGGTGGTGGTGGTGGGTTTCGTATTATTGAGCGCATTCTTGATTACTACTACTAATAGTACTGTAATTCTCTCACACTCTCACTCTCAAATCCTTTCTTGTCCTGAGGCACCCGGGGGCGGGAGGATCTTATTGCGCCCGACTGCTTATCGGCCTGCCCACTCACTGCCTGTCGGCTGGTCCCGAATCCTGCCTGTCACTGCCAAAAAAAAAAAAAAAGAAAAAAAAAAAAATTTTTTTTTTAAAAAAAAAAAAAGAAAAGTACCCACAGCGGATCATTTCTCTCTCCACTCTACTCCGTACTTACTACGTACCTTATTGTCTACTAGTATATAGTAGTCTGTGTGTCTGTCGAACGGTTTTCTCATACTCACACACAAGTCACATTTGCTAACTACTCAGTTCGGCTCCTCTTGTGAAAGATGCACTTTTACCTTCAATTTCATGATCCCTAGTTTGAAGGGTATATACTCCTGCGGCTTCAATCCTTCTTTCATCTCCCCTTACGGCTTGATGAATACGATGATGCTACCGCGCAGGTCATTACCTGACGGCAAGTCTCACATTATTTCTCACTCTAATGATACTCGAATCATACTCGGGGCAAGGGATGATTGACTCTAACGTGGTTTAAAATTTTAGCAGTGAAGGTCATGGCTACATAACCCTATCGGGGAACGGATCCCGCAATAGTAAGAGACAGACAAGTGGGGACAGATTCATGCACATTCTAGCCATCATCATCATCATATTTATAGCGTGGTCATCAGCCATTACTAGTCTACTTCTCCCATCTATTTAACTACTCCACCCCCCTCCCCCCGGTTCCCCTGTGTGGCGCACTTGCCCTCTCACACCTTCAAGTGCTCATCGAACCACTGCACGGCCTGGATGAAGGCATTCTCCTTGGCGAACAGCACCTTGGGGTCGCTGAGGTCTCCCCGCAAAGCGAATCTATGACATGATTAGTCCAATGCGCAGTCCATTGGGTTTCCAAAATCACTCACCCATGACCGACACCGCCATAGAGAGTCTGGGCATAGGGCAACGCCAGCGTTTCCAAGATCTGCTCTGACTCGTGTCGCTTCTCGGCGGGGAAGACGTGGTCCTTCTCGGCCGCCGCAATGGCCAGAGGACCCTTGATGGCCTCCAATTCCTCCTTTTCGACCAGACTAGGGTGCGCCAGGAAACCGACATCCACCTTGCCTTGGTCGGGCTTCAGGAACCGAACAACATACTTGGCGCCAAAGCAGTATCCGATGGCACCGATTTTCTGTCAAGAAATCAGTCCCACCGTTCGTCCGGCCAGCCATTTGGCAGCGGAAAGATAGGCCTACCTTGATGTTGTACTTGGTGCGCAGTTCAGCTATGCACTTTTCCAGGATGGGGTCGATGACGGGGGGAGTGTGTGCGATCTTCTTCTCGTGGTACTCGCCCACCAGCCATTTGTGGAGGTCCAGGCCCGCGGCGCCACCAATGGGGATGGGATCACCATAGAAGAGATCGGGGATGAGAACCAAGTAGCCATTGGCGGCGAACTGGTCAGCGATCAGCTGGGCATTCTTGAACCGGTGGCCCAGGATATCAGTCAGCCTATGTCGGTCAGTTCAAACTATTCAGTTGCTACCATTGCAGTGAAGAGGGACAGACAGAATGATTGCTTTCTCGGGAGCGGCACCCTCGGGTGCCTTCTTGTAGACTTCAAAGTCATCAATGGTGATGAAGTCGCCAGTCGCGTCGCCATCATGCTTGACGCCCTGGAAGCAGCACTTTCTGGGAGGGTAGGAGGTCATTGTGATGTGTGTAGTTGGGTGGGGGGGGGGGGGGGGGGAAGTTCAAGGGACTTGGTCGGAAGGGTTTGGATGCTTGACTATGTGACCATGGACTTCTCCCGGTGACTTTATACCTCTCTACTACCTTATCCAAATGCAGTTTTGAGTGATCGGAATCATCTTTGACGGCATATCTCCCTAGTCCTCGGTCACGGACCGTAGTGTTTCTGGTCGGCAAGGATGTTGGGCATGGTACTTCCTGTTGCCCTCTAGAGATCCGAAGACTGCCCAATGGGGAATTGCCCCGACCGAGATTCGGGTTAGCGCGGGTCCCGCGCTAACCTCAGTCTCGGCATTTCCCGCTGGCATCCCGATTGCAAGGCAACTTCCTCGTTTTACCCGAAAGAGGTAAGAGCATATTGAGACTGATTGCCTCAGGCAGTCAGCCGCCAGATTGTCTCCAACACTACTCACCTTTCCTCGGCTTGTCTCTGCATAGGTACTACACTACTCTGTACTACTCACTGCGTGAGGCTGGAACAACTGCCACCACCGGTCCCGCCGCGAGTTGCACCGATCGTCGCTCCCCCACATGCAATCACAGAGCGTACTGTGTATACCAACCAGTGTCCCGCGCTATGGAGGTCGGTATCGGCACCCCGGGAAAACAAGCAAGAGACCGACTGTCATTGGGACTCTCGTCTTCTTTTCCCTCTTCCGACGTACCTGACCTCGTCGACCATTGCCGATTCAATCGATCGACAAGTTGATGGAGTTCAATATGACAACTGCCGGGTCGCAAGGTGAGACACTTGTCCTAACACAATGAGCATTACATGCGTTCGCATCCTGACCAAGATACACTTCAGTAGAAGAAATGCGACCGTATCTCTTCCTGCTCCGCCTGCATCACCCGCCGGGCTCCCGATAAGCGACAGCGGGTGCTCCTCTCGCCCCGCGACGATGAGGCCATGGAGAATGTACACAGATCCTTGCAGGAGGTACCACCGGCCCTACAAAAGCTCCCGCCGAGCAGCGCACAGTCCGAATCATCATCAAGGGCTCCCCATTCACTCTTTCATCCTCGTGTGGACGGGAAACCAATATTTTGAGAGATACAATTTTCAGCAGGCCCTACGATTATCTCGGCAGCGTTAGCCAGAATGGCGGCCGACAGCGACTTCAGTACGCCTAATGTTGACAATGTCCGAGCGAATACTGTTTGGGGGGAACTACTATTTTTGGCGCGTTCGGCTGGATCTAATAGGCCATTGGCGGAAGAGGAGCTTTGTGACGGTTCTGTCTATCCGCACGTTTGTCGAGGGACCGTAGATATACGCCTCTTCCTACACCTGCTATTGATGCCTGCTGGGGAAACGCATCTTGTCATACAAATTCTTGCTTTCTTTCGTATAATCTATGGCAACTTGTCATAGAGTTATTGCTCGGCTCAACGGACGATGCCTTTGCTCAAAGTCAGATCCCGGCTCAAACTCATTCAGTACCGTGTCCTATTCATGAAAAACCATGACGTACGTTTGGGGCTCCTTGTTGAGCGGGCGCCCTCCCTCACATGATGGAAGCTCCGTGTCGCAATATCGGTTTCGCATCAACTGCACTGGTTTTCTGGGAGACAGAAACATGACCCGCGCCTTCCCGAAAGCTTCGTGCCAGCAGAATGAGCTTGAGTACCGGCTCCAGAGGCGGAAGCTGTCCCTGGGAGTCCAGAGCCGGGCATGGGGTTTTCCACACATAGACTACTCTTCATCTAATAACCTTCACGTCGACATCATGGATTATTGACACCGTGGACCCTTCACTAAAAGTTATCACAGCATCATGGATCATTCCCTAACAGTCATTGTCTATATCTTGCATCTTGGGCCCACTTCCGCATCAGCGCAGTTAGCATAGGCTTCTTCAGTGTTGGAAAACCATTATTCGATCATGGCTCCCTTTAAAGGCAGCATCTCCCAGCGGGACGTCCAGTTGGTCAAACTCAGCAGTTCCTGCACATACAACAAGATCTGTTACTTCAGGCGAACCAGGTCTCTGGTCAATCTAGCTCATGGCATTAACATCATTGGACAGTTCCTGATGATCTCTGCTAAGAACCGTACGCTTCCCTTTCTCACCTTGTCCATCTATACTGACACTTGGCTAGGCTATGATGACCTACAGGACAAAACTATACCGAAGTTCCTTGATGCTCGTATTGACACCAACAATCTACTTAGCAGCCTCGCTTTCGGAATGTGCGCCTGCACCTTTCTAAATGTCTTTTTTTGCCTCCTCATGATATGCGACCTGGTTCTGGCCGGAGCGGAAAGAGAACCTTTGCATTCAGTGGACATGGAAACTCGGTTCCGCTGTGGCGAGTCTGTTGCAAGTGGCAGCATGTGTAGTGATTACTATCATTGTAGCGACGCAGGAAGTTCAGATACACGGTGTGTCAGCAGATGAACAAGAAAGCATCCGGAGCACCTGGGACTGGATCTCTTTGGCCTACCGAAAAGATGGCCGGACAGTAGCGGGGCTAGTCTTCTACTGGCTTGGGTGTGTGTCCGTATGTTGGGGGTAGGTTCTAGGATGAAACGAATGCGATGAGAGAAATATCTAACCATGTGCCGGTACCGTTATTATGTGGCATTGCTACGCGTACCACAACAATGACAGGCCGTTCGCCGATCACGCGAGAAAAGACAGAGCCAAGACGCAGATCAAGGAAGGACTTAAGTTGGACTCCACTCCAGTGAGATAGCTGAGGCTAGTTGACATTAGTCACTTCTGGATGGTTTGAGTGAAGTATCAGCTTTGTTGCTGTATTGCTGAAGCCCTGGTGCCAATTATGGAACACCAGGAAGAATTTCAGAGGTACTTGCTGCATAGTTGAAGTCTCTGGTTCGAGGATCTGATTAAATTGATTACCTAGATGTTCAGTCAGATAAAACTAGAACGCCTTGCAACAAACATAGCCTCAGGGAGACGACAACTTTCACGGTGTAGCCATGTGTCAACCATGTCAAAGCATGTACTTGACTGCCACGAATATTTTCCTTCCTACGTCATATAAGCGATGATCGCCTCTTCCTTTGTTTTATTACATCGTACTCACTTTCGAAAACTTGGCTACCTAGCTCGAGCTATGGTGGGCTGTCATATATAGTATTGCTTCTGCAGCAAATCGGCGCAACAGTTCGTCCCACGGTTAAGGTTGGGGTCCAGGGGGGTGGGGGGTTTGGTGCAGCAATAGCTGCAGGGTACACTTCCGACCTAGCAAAGCGTCTTTGAGGGTCTAGGTATTGAATCCGTCACATGGTGTATGCATAGGCGATTCCAAACCCCCCACTGTTACACCCGGACTGGCATGGCTCAGGATGTAAATTGCTATGCGGGAAACCGGATCTCATCGCCCTGGCAAAACATGCAGTGACTTGCACGTGCACGCAGGCATGACGCAGACTGGCTCAGTGGGTCTTAAAGGAAAACCAGCTGTTCTGGAAAGCCGGCGCTGCATATTACAGCGACAAAATGCCGCATGTCAGCTAATACAATTGCCTGATACTAGATCGATTCCGATCGCGGAGTGTGATTGTCTCTATGGGCTTCCATTCCTTCCAGACGTTCCAACCGATGAGAAAGCGAGTGACAGAGCATGGCAGAACCGCGTGGCCGACGGAGTGGCACCTTGGCTGGCAGGTCCAAGCTTTGGCCAAGGAAGCTTGCGCTCGGCGTGGGTTGCCGAGGCGGGCAGCCCCAAGCCGTTGTTTACCCTCTGAAAATCAGAATGTCCGTGAGGGATATTATCTCTTATCAGTGCCTGGCTCATCCAAAGTGTTACTTCTTGTGTTCTGGGAATGACTCTTCATTGGTGATTCCGTCGTCAGCACGAGGCAGCGGAGATACGAGGGATACTAGAAGGAGTGGGAAGACACCGGCAGCGACCCCGGAGATAAGCCCTTGCCGGGTGCATAACTACTTACTTACTAGTTGACTACACTAGTCGATTAAGCTGCTCCCATTGACCAACGGCAGTCTGTGCCTGTGTCTGTCCCGCCCGTCCCTTCTGCCAATGGGAGAGTTGGCCGAAACCACGCCTTTAGACTCCAGGGTATAATTCGAATCCCGTGAGTCCCGCTGAGAGGTGGGATTCAGCCCTGTTACGTCGAGCTGGAGGGCTTCTCGCTTTGGGATGCTGAGCACGTGGGCTCTTCTGTGAGTCGGTCACTGGTAGACATCCCTCCGTCTTCGCTTCGCTACTTTCTAGCTCACTCATTTTGAGCCGTCTCCTGGCTCGCGTGAGGCGAGCAGCTCACAGATGCATGCTGGACCGCAATCTCCGATCGCCGGGTATAAAAGGTCCTCCAAACCCCTCTCGGTCGATATGTACCCCGCTCGTCATCTCCTATCCTCTCGAGAGCACCTTCTCCAGCTTTTGTCAATTGTACCTTCGCAATGCCTCGCACCTCTCTCCTCACCCTGGCCTGTGCTCTGGTCACGGGCGCATCCGCTTTCTCCTACGGCGCTGCCATTCCTCAGTCTACCCAGGAGAAGCAGTTCTCTCAGGAGTTCCGCGATGGCTACAGCATCCTGAAGCACTACGGTGGTAACGGACCCTACTCCGAGCGTGTGTCTTACGGTATCTCTCGCGATCCCCCGACCGGCTGCGAGGTCGATCAGGTCATCATGGTTAAGCGTCACGGAGAGCGCTACCCGTCCCCTTCAGCCGGCAAGGACATTGAAGAGGCCCTGGCCAAGGTCTACAGCATCAACACTACTGAATACAAGGGCGACCTGGCCTTCCTGAACGACTGGACCTACTACGTCCCTAATGAGTGCTACTACAATGCCGAGACCACCAGCGGTCCCTACGCCGGTCTGCTGGACGCGTACAACCATGGAAACGATTACAAGGCTCGCTACGGCCACCTCTGGAACGGCGAGACGGTCGTGCCCTTCTTTTCTAGTGGCTACGGTCGTGTCATCGAGACGGCCCGCAAGTTCGGTGAGGGTTTCTTTGGCTACAACTACTCCACCAACGCTGCCCTCAACATCATCTCCGAGTCCGAGGTCATGGGCGCGGACAGCCTCACGCCCACCTGTGACACCGACAACGACCAGACCACCTGCGACAACCTGACTTACCAGCTGCCCCAGTTCAAGGTCGCTGCTGCCCGCCTAAACTCCCAGAACCCCGGCATGAACCTCACCGCATCTGATGTCTACAACCTGATGGGTATGTGATTACGGTACAGTCATTGGCTCAAACATCCAGCTGACAGCATTCTAGTTATGGCCTCCTTTGAGCTCAATGCTCGTCCCTTCTCCAACTGGATCAACGCCTTTACCCAGGACGAATGGGTCAGCTTCGGCTACGTTGAGGATTTGAACTACTACTACTGCGCTGGGTGAGTTTACCATTTGGTCCATTATTGTCTCGGATCAGCACCTAACGATCGACAGTCCCGGTGACAAGAACATGGCTGCTGTGGGTGCCGTCTACGCCAACGCCAGTCTCACCCTCCTGAACCAGGGACCCAAGGAAGCCGGCTCCTTATTCTTCAACTTGTACGTTCTCAGCAGAATCAAAGTCTCACAAAAAGAAACTCTTCGCTAACATATAGTAGTGCCCACGACACCAACATCACCCCCATCCTCGCCGCCCTAGGCGTCCTCATCCCCAACGAGGACCTGCCTCTTGACCGCGTCGCCTTCGGCAACCCCTACTCGATCGGCAACATCGTGCCCATGGGTGGCCATCTGACCATCGAGCGTCTCAGCTGCCAGGCCACCGCTCTCTCGGACGAGGGTACCTACGTACGTCTGGTGCTGAACGAGGCCGTGCTCCCCTTCAACGACTGTACGTCCGGACCGGGCTACTCCTGCCCTCTGGCCAACTACACCTCCATCCTGAATAAGAATCTGCCCGACTACACGACCACCTGCAACGTGTCTGCGTCCTACCCGCAGTATCTGAGCTTCTGGTGGAACTACAACACCACGACGGAGCTGAACTACCGCTCTAGCCCTATTGGCTGCCAGGAGGGTGATGCTATGGACTAGATGCAGAGGGGCAGGACCGGGATACTTTAGTGATGATTGATGTTCAAGTTTGGTGGTAACGATCACCTTGTTAATAGTCTTGTACAGTCATGCGGTGAATGTAAATAATGATAATAGCAATGATACATGTTGAACTTTCGTCGTGATATTTATGTACATAGGCACTTTGGAGGGATATTTAGTCTTAGGTTTATTTCAATTCGGTGCATAGTGTGATCAATAAATTGACAATTTATTATTGGAATGCAATGCTGTATGTAGGAAATTATTGAGGTAAGACGCAGCTACTAGCTGACTGCTCGGAAGCAGGATTCCTCGGTAGTGACAAAACTGAACCGACCGGGTTCAACTTGGACCGTGCTTCGTGAACTTGCCATGTACTCTCTACGGTCGCATTTGCCTATTTGGCCTCAACGAAAGTGGTCTTCATTAATTAGCTGGGTCTAGTGAGTAATTGGGATGATTGAATGTGTTAAAAAGGGCTTCGCAATTGAAGTAGAGACTGAACGTTCAACTTTGGTGGTTCATCCGAATGTTGCGTTAAAAGTCACGGTGAGATTATACATCACCACCACACGACTAGTAAGTGACCCAAAGACGCAGTGTCTGAGTGCTACTACTAGTAGCACAATAGTTTCTTCAAGCGATCGATGGGTTCTTCAAAATTATAGTATTATAGATGATAGCCATGTTCCTTACGTGCACAATTACAGCATACTCGCACTGTCATATGCTTCCCAGGGGTTTGAAGAAGCATCGGATTAAGTTTGTAGTAGGGTACAGGCAACCTTTCTGCCACCTGTGTTCAAGCGCATCCACTTTACCAAGGATCCCGAGATGTACATAACAAACCAATGGCCTTGAGGAGCTCGTTTAAAGATGTCTTTGTAAAGTGATGTGCAGAGAATGGGGTCCCTCGAAGGGAATAAAGGTATAAGAAGGGAAAAACAAAAAATGCTTCCACGCGGATTCGAACCGCGGACCTCATGATTACTAGTCATGCGCTCTACCAACTGAGCCATAGAAGCTGGTTGATGTAGGGAGTACTAACTGTTTGCTCTATGTGCAGCAAATACAATCGGCAGCAGTTGTTGGCTGTCAAAGACGCTTCTCATGCAGGTTCCCGGAATTGACAGGACAACATCCACATCCACCTCCTGTCCAGTCTGACCAACTGTTACCAACTGTTTAACTGCAAGCTCGTCGACCCAATGGATCAGTTCATTTGCTAATTCCTGCGTTGGGACTCACCACGTCTAAAAGCGTGCTCCCTGAACCATCTCATCAGACACCACTTCAAACCCATTCCCCATCGTTCCTGACCTCCAGGCACTCCAACCTAGCAGCAACATACAAAGAATCCCACAAAGAATACAGTATCGATGACGTGAGATGTGAGATGTGCCCAACTGGACCTGACGAGGCTGAGAGATGGCGGAGCAGTGAATTCGGATCGTGCAGCCATTGGGGGCCATGGTAAGCCGCCACAGCTTCAGCCCCAGCAGTAGTTAACTACTAGTACTAGTAGTGTCGGACCCTGTCAGATCCAAATTGTCTGAGATATAAATAACCCCAAACAGATGACCTATCATCCCACCCCTTTAAGCCATCAAAACAGCCCTTTTCTCTCCATTGACACAAGACACTACAACACATCATCACTACAGTTCTGTCCCTGCACGAGAAATGTCCGACCACGATGTCCCCGCGTTCGATGTCTACTTCATCTTCCAGAAACAGGAGCTGAAGCTCGTCTTCAACTCGGCAACCCATGCAAATGCATACCAAGCCTCAAACCGCGAGGGTCGCATCTTCACCGCGGAGCCCACCGCTGTCTACCTCCCTCACTCCCCCACCATGACCTATCTCCGCGACAGCAGCAATGGTCTGGTGATTGGCTTCGGGACCACCGAAGACGCAGAGACATGGTGCCGCACCTCCATTCTCGGCCATATCTACTCGTCAGAACCATCACCCGAAGTTCGCATCAGACGCAACTGGACGGACGAAGAGCTGGATGAGGTGCTTCGCATCCAGTCCAACGCGAACGTCTTCCGAAAAAGCGTCCCTTTCACCCTGCGCCCTGCCATGCCACCAAGCACCACTCCCCCCGCAAGCAATTCTTCTTCCTCGACCACCACCTCGAGAGCCCCGAGCGGTCAGTTCGCACCGCCTCCGTGGGCACAGGTCTCGCTGAACCTGGATTCCGAATCTCCGCCCGCTACGATATTGACCCCGCCGAGTCAATATCAATTGCCAAGCACATACTCGCCAGTATCGGATCAGCCACCCAGGGGAAGTATCATAGCGTACCCCGGTCCACAGGCACCACGCGCGCACTCGTACGCCGCACCTTCAGAGACAGGGAACGGACCAGCGCAAAGGAAGCCTATCCCACAGGTCGACGAGCTTGGAGTCGCCCCCCTCCGACCTACACATATATCACCGAGAACGTCCAGTACGAGTCTTCATCGTGTATCAGTCCAATAGATAATCGGGAAAGGAAAATAACTGGGACGATTTACATAGCGATGGCGTTAATGCTGAAGGTATTGCAGTTTTGCATATTTTTTTTTATTGTTGGGTTATTATAATAAAACAGTCGTTAAGAAGAAAATAAGAGTTGATCAGTGGTCTATCTGCCGTTCATCGTAGGTGCTGCAATAAAACGGGGGTTCTCTTTGCTGTAGCACCTCATTATCATGTTTGCGTCGTTGAACACAGCGCATCAAACATTATAAACGTCGGATCAGCATGTTCGGACCCGGTGTAATTATTGGGTTCGATAGAGACCGTCCCCTTAATACTGACGATCCGGCCAAGCATCATACAAGCCCTCCGCAACAGTCACGTTGGAGAACGCGACACCACCCACACCATTATGGAAGAAGCTGATGTTAGTGGAATTGGCGTACCAGGAACTATCCTCACGTTAGCATCACCGCCCTTCAATCATCAATCAGGGAGATACTCACCGAACCCAAGTACTCAAAGCAAACCGACCATTGGCATAAATCTCCAACACCGAGTTATCCACCACGAGAGTCAAATCCAGCGTCTCAATGGCCTGCTCGCCGCCATTCAGCACGTCAAACAGACGCAACTTGCCAGCCTCCGCACTGCTATCGATGCCATCAGTCGTGCGCGCCGCAGCACTAGTGTTACTGCGATCGACGATGATCGACTCATTTGAGAACTGGTAGTACACGGTAGTACTTTCATGCTCCGACGAGAGGATCTGGAATCCACTCTTCAGTCCCGATCCCCTAGCAGAAGCAGGGAAGGACAGCTGCGCGGACAGAACGAAGAACTTCTCGGACGGCGAGCGCTTGAACGGAACAACACCGCTGCTGTTCAGGGTGCGGCCAGACTCACTGAACGAAGTTCCCGACAGCAACGCGGCCTTGGTTTCCCGGGCAATGGAAATACCCAGCGTCTGCAGCTCGACGGTGCCCGCACTGCCATCGCTGCTCACGACCTGCCACGAGGCACCAGACTCCCGGGCCAGAGCATTGTCCACCACATTGGAGATATACAGCACGCGCAACTCACGCGGAAGCAGCAGCGTACCGGTCCAATTCTGCTGGTTCGTGGGGAATCCTTCGGCCTGTTCGAACAGGTCACCGGACAGCCAGACGTAGGAGATGAAGCGGTCCGGAGCGCCGCTCTTCGTGGAAGGCAGAGAAGTCGAGGGGAGAACCTTTCCGGCAGCAGCGTAAGAGGAGAAGCCCCAGTCGAGGAAGCCGGCCATGTTGGGGGTGAACGAGACAGAGCCATTGCGGGAGACTGTGCCGGACACCCAGAGCATGTCGTGGATGCTGGTGAGCTGGGGAACGACGGGCAGGTCAGAGCCCTCAGTGCCGATGGTGGTGAAGATCTGGCCGTGGGGGTTGTATCCGTACTCGTCGAGACTGAAGACGTTGCCGGTCTCGAAGTTGAAAGCCCAGCGGCCGGCCCAGGTACCGTTACCCCAGGTGGAGTTGGTGGGTTCGTGCCACCATTGGCCGAGGTACTCCCAGTACTGGAAGTCCGAGTCGTACTGACGGTAGAGGAATTGGGCGGGGCCCTTTTCGTGCAGACCACCGGAGATGACGGCGTACCAGGTGTTGTTCTTGCTGTGGAGGAGGGAGTCGAGAGTGGGGTTCTGGAAGACGTAGGGGTCCCGGAATGCAGTGACGTTGTAGGCGAAGGGAGGGCCAGGGATGACGGGGCCCTGGTCGAGCTTGGTGAAGTTGCTGCCGCCGTCGGAGGAGACGGCGAGGGACTGGGTCTCACTGCCGCGGGTGTAGGGGATTGACCAGTGGATGGGGAGGAAGGAGACGGAGGTGTAGAGGAGGGTGGGGAGACCGTTGATGCCGTTGGGGATGACGGAGCCGTCGAAGACAGCGACGGGGTCGTTGATGCCCCCGGGGACAATGACTTGGTTGCCTTGGTTGAGGTCTTGGTAGGTGGCTAGATCATCGGTGGTGGCACTGGAGATGCCGCTGCCATCGTAAAGGAAGCCGACGTGGAAGAGGCCCGTGGCGGGATCGGTGTAATGCAGGCAGGGATCACCGATCTGACCGTTGGGGGGCAGGACGTGGGCGCGGGGACGCCATGTTTCGAAGAGGGAGCCATTGGGCAGGGTGGAGAGGTTTGGAGGAGCGACATTGTAGTCGATGACAACTGAGGCCCGCGTCTGCATGGAAGGAGACGCAGCAGCAGCACTGCCGAGCAGTACGGAAGCCGTTTGAAGCTTCATGTCGAGGTATCGCAAAGGAAAGGAGGGGACACTCACTTCCCCTCCCTTGGCAGAGGGGAAAAAAGTGACACTTTATATGGCATGTTTTGTTGATGCAGGGGTGCCGGGGAATTTCCGACAACTAGAACTAGAATGGTTGGAATGCTGGATGAATAGTCCGTATCCTCGGGGAAATTGAGGATTGCGGAGGAAGTCCGCTTAGGGTTCGCGCAGGGAGATTCAGCGTTGATTTTCCGAGATTTCCCCCGGGTTCCCGCAATGAGGTTATGATACTGCCGATCTTCAAATGGGGACCCGCTGAGGTTCTGTTGACCTGATTGAACTTACTTGCTGGGTAGGTAAGTTTGCTCGTGGAGTGCTTTTGTTTAACCGTAAAGAGAAAGTGAGAGCCGGAGGTTTGTCGGTATGACGAGGTGGAGATCTAGTGGGAACGGCAGTGAAGAAGAGATGAAAAGTGGGCAGGATGTAGGAAGAAAAGGTTAAACGACTCGTATAGGACACGAGGTGCTGCTTCAAGTATACTATTAGGGGTGTTTTGGGCGAACGGTGTGAAGAGACTTCATCGCGCAATGTGTGCCTTGGTCTGACTTGTTCGCACTGGTCCGTCACACTCGCAGCGATGATGAGGGTTCGGAGATCTCTTGTCATCGAGGGAGATAAGTCCCAGGCACCAAGGTACTCCTTGTTTAAAGCTCATTATCAATCAGTCTGGGCCGGAAGAGGGTCGTGAAGCTGATTGCCGACACGGCATATGGTGGAGACTGCGAGGTTTTTGACATCGGGTCAGGAAGGTCACAGAATAAGGATCAATATGCTCTGTGAGACGCGACTATCGACCATTATATGAGTTAGTCAATACTTGTCGGTATTTCTTTTTGGGTTCCTGCTGCAATTGATGAAACCGGATATATCAAGAAAGAAAGAAATCGACACATCCAGTACGAAAGACAGAATCGGTTGGTGATATTGGGGGCAGACACGAGAACGCATCCTGGGTCATAAACGTTGTGCACATTGAACAAGTAAGGGCGTTCCAGGCGATGTAGGTCAAGTTGCAGTTGGTGGATCCATGACAAATGTTATAGAGTAATGAAATGTAGGGCGAGAACTGAATGTTGAGCAAGCACTGAATACATATGGGTCATTGCGAATTCTGCAACACTCTTCTGTTTTATCTTATACTACGCCGGCATATGCTGTCTCCTTACTTACCGCAAGGAACTAGAGCTGAGGTTTCACTTGTACCCGGAAAGTAGAATAGGAATGGGCGGAGAAAAGAGCTACTCGGAGTTACACGACACAATCGTAGACATCATTTTCGGAATATCTGTGCTTCATAAGAGAACCTGAATCTATCCGATATTTATGTCTGAAGGGCCTTGTGATTGGAGAAATAGAAATATCTTTCATTTTTTTTTCTTTGCCGAAATGACGTCATACCGTAAATATTTGATCCCCATAATACTCAAAATACCATGTCTAACAGCATGTCTCTCATAAAATTAGGCAACACCCCGTTGCCTGCTATTCGTGGTGTCCTCCATAATACTTCAAGTGTATGAAAAAGCATTTTCACGGTGTGGTGGCAGCAACTGACGGCGATCAGGACCATGCACAGATTAGTCTTGAACGGGTCGAAGAAGCCGCCGGCCACTACCAATTTTGTCAATAACAACGATTGATGTTAGATATATTATCCTGGTAATCGCTTAATAGTGGTTTAGCCTATGCTAAAAAGGACAGTTTTCCAATCGGAGTGGCTCATTTCCAGTGGGATCCAGAGAAACTCTTCGAGACGCATTCTAGAGAGATCTAACAATGCGAAATGAATTGGCCAAGCACAAGATAGCTAAAGAAAGACATGTGAGAAGAGCCAGTCGAATCCGGAGAGTCCGACCAAGCTACAGCTGCAGAAGGCCTTCTTGAGGTCAGAGCATCAGCCCTACAGTAGTCTTCGCTAGATCTAGCTTTATGTTTCATCTAGGTAGCCTAGCCCTACGGCATACTTCAGGGTGCAGACAGTTGGAGATAATAATGAATAGAAACATTCAATGTTACGACTGAGAAATTAATTACTCAAAATGCTGCCTAGGACAGACTGTCGGTCAAAGGTCCTGTGCGAGTCTTCTACGATGATGCATCTACTATCGATGTTGACGTGTCCCTAGAGCTTCTTGTGGATGAAAGATAAAGGATGCGTCATTACAACTTTGATGCATGGCAATCCCAAACGTGCCCAAGCGTTCCCTGAAGTTCCTAACTTATGATTGGTTACCATCACTCAACACTCCATGCAGATTCTATTGGTGAGCCCCAGTGTGCTGCTACAAGGATTGGCTCGGTCGATATCTCTGACTTGTCCCAATCCAATTGGTCGGACGGGTGCAGGGTTATGTAGGTCCAACAGGCGAGTTGTGCTTACAAGGCTAGCAGGCGGAAGGTTTTGTGACAGGTACAGTCTACTCTTCTCACATGCTGCTATTTGTTACGATAGAGGGCCATCTCTTGACCGGCTGGCAGCTTGGTAGACGCGTTTGGCGTATCTAGCTGGTACGACAGCAGAAAGTCACTTCCAATGCAAATTGCTGCATGGTCGTGAGAGCATGTCTAACGGAAAATATTGGCTTGGAGGGCGGTGATCACTCTGGCGGTCTCCTGTCACAGATTTCGTGTTGGGCTGGTGTCATGAAAGAACCAGAATCCCCCTAGTGATCCTATGCGCACACTAGCAGCGCACTAGGTGCTAGTAATGGAAGGGAACCTGGTCAAAGTCGAAGATCTGGCGACCAGGATCCAAGACATTGGAATCGTGTATCATCAATTTTGTACAGCAACTGAGAGAACGATCATATACCCCGTGAGATCGAGAGATGTCGAATTGGGCTAGAGGTCATCTAAACAGATGTTCTCTAAGTGAGCCTCACCCCAGTCTCATAGTGGATAGATGTTATACTGATCTCGGCGTTGTTCGCAAGCATGGGTGCTTCGCGCTAAAATCAAGACGATGTAACTGTACTGCATGGTGGCGGTCAGAAAAAGAAGCCCGATTTCAATACGGCTCTTAGTGGAGCAGACACAAGGCCTGGGGCAAGATAGATCAAAGTAATAACTAGGATCTGTAGTGCTTCTCCCCAATCAGACGCCTTGTCCCAGGATCAAGACAGGAGCGGCCATTAGTCACGTTGGAAGAGGCTAGACAGGATACTGTTTTAATAGTAGCGAACCGGCGGACTGAAAAATCAGATGGAGAAAATATCGAAAGCTGACGGTGATAGCGACTTGATTTTTCACATCGTCAATGAACATGGCGGCAGATTCACCAACCTCCCATTTCACCGCCGAGATGCTTGTGACGTTGGAGATGTTCAAGGATTCGCCGTGGGAGGAACCGGTCCCCGTTAGTCCCTTCTGGGATAGTATAGACTACTCGATCGCTCGCAATTTCCTCGGCAGCTTTACACAGGCTGAACTGGCACAGCTGCCCATCGACGAGGACAGCATCGCTGACCAGCAATCCAAGATCATACTCCTCTTACGACTCCTGCAAAAGAAATTGGATGATGAAGAAGCCGCTACTTCTCCCCCGGGCAGCCTCTACACCAGCGATTACCAGCAGTGGTACCGATTATGGCAAGGGATCTACGTCCTTCAGGACGAGTTGAACCTCCCCGAGGCGGAACGGACCATTCGGATGCTGGTGGACAAAACACCATACAAATCGAATCCAGTACCATCGCACATGCTAGCAGAGCACCTGGTAAAAGTTGGCAAGTACGAAGAGGCAGAACGGACCGAGAGACCGATCCGCGCATGGATGGATGCCCGGCCGCATTTGGGGCCGTCCTCCCCACAGGCGCTCAACGCTTGTCGGCTTATCGCCCAAGCCTTGTGGGGACAGGGACCGTCGAGGCGCTCGGAAGCCGAAGCTCTAATAGCCGAGATTCATTGGATCGTCGAGGAGATGGGGGAAGGGCAGTTTGCGGTTTACCAGGCGGAAGAGAGAAGGCTGAACCAGGTGATGATGGCCACTCTCCAGTGACTCTGTTCATATATTTAGGTGAATTTCCCTAGTTATAGGGACCACAAATGCCCAGTCTCAGTGCCTCACGGTGTGCTTTCTCCCACTATTGTTACTAGGATGTGTGAAATGGAGCCATCAAGCCGTGTGGCAGCTTCCTGGTGCATGGGGCTTGTCGCGCGCCGCATACAAACGTGCGCGTAGGTAGATACTGAAGAGTGCGGGAAGAATTTAACGGTGCAAGAACAGGAGGACTGCCATACATGCAACTGAATTTTTGCGCATTCTTCTAAGTAATCTATTGTTGGCGATATATGTCGTGACGGAAGTATTATACAGGAGAAAAGGCAATTAAGGAGCGCGGGATTAGAGTCCGTCGAGCCGGCACAGGTATTATAAGGAATGTGGTCTGGCGAGGGTGGATGTATATGTCGATCGAGGAGTCGCAGGAAAAGGGTATATTCGGGAACGAAGTGGATGGAAGGCAATTATTCGGCGCTGATGCACTTTTCGCAGCAACTGCAACAGTGGCAGCAGAAGCAGCAACTGAGCGAAACCAAGCAGTCAGCACATGGGAATACTCAAATAAAACAGGGGCAATTCTCGTATGGGACTGCGGGGGCGATCACTCACGCATCTTCCGGTCCGTCACCACCACGCAGGCGCAATTCCATTCCTTCGCCAAGGGACTGAAGTGGTGTTTGTTAGTCCTCAACTCTGCGGCGTTATAGCATAGAATAAAATCCAAGCACGTACAGGCTGATCGGTGACGATCTCATCCATGGTGGGGGCGGCCGGGCTCTGAGGTTGGTTCATGGTGAGAGTGACGGGATCCCAAGTCACCTCCTGAACCTCCTCCTGTCCGGAGGGGCGGAACCAGCTCATCACAGTATCAAACATTATGTCTCTAAATATTCGAGCGGTATTTCAACCTGCAATTGAGTGATATGGAGCAAAATTGACCGTAAAATGTTGCCAAGGGGCGAGCGATAAACCCAAAAAAAAAACGAGTGTCGGGGTGGATGGGTGTAGGCCAAAATTACAAGGAGCGGCGGATTGAGGGAGAAAAGAAGAAAATGGAGAGGATGGAAGAGGAGAGAGGATGACAGAAAGGGCTAAGACGACACCATCGACGCCATTTAAGATTGATCCCGCGGACCATGCGGAGCTATGTACAAAAGGCTCGCATTTTTTTTCCCTGCTTCCGCAGGGGGGGGGGGCTTTTCGCTGAACGAGGGGACAGACAGCCAGCCTAGGCAGAGAGAAGAGTTCCGATAAAGGTCTCCATCCAGGAAGCTTAGCCCGATCGGTTTCCCCTTAGTGGCCGAACCATTTGTGAATGGCTTCGTCGCCTGCGACGAGTCCTTGCCGTCAGGGCTCCGCCCGGACATACGTAACTTAGCGGAGTCGAATTTTCACGGCTCTGACGGGTTGCCGTTGTCCGAGAGGGGAGGCCTACGTAGACCACCTCATCCCCGAGGACCAAAGTGGTTAATCGCGTGGACAGGGAGGCGCATGCTTGGTGGAGAGGGGAATGTACAATGGTAGAAGCACTAGGGAAGGCTAGGAGTTGGCACTATTCAAGTCCAGCAATTTGGTTCGTAGATAGGGAGGAGATAAGTTCGTCCAGAACGACGAAGAAAAATAGTAAGTCAATGGAGGAGACAAGAGCTAGGAGATGCTCCGCCTTAGGTGGTGCTGATTGGCAGAGATGGCCATGTCAGAAAAGCTGGGGAGGTCAATCCGGCCAGCGACCCGACAGGAATCATGATGGGAAGAGATTTGCAGCTGGAAGACTAGTTAGTGGTGAGTGGATACTGGATACAGAGAGGAGGGCTGAGAAAGAAGAAAGGCAAGAGACTCAGGCAGGCAGGCAGCAGTCCGACCGGGAAATTTGCTCAATTGGGATGAGGTTTGGTATACACCTTCCTAAATAAAGACTAGCGCACGCCACTAGCGTGTATTAGTGTAGAATTTCGACCAATTATATTTTACTAGACTCGTCAACCAGTATTTTTATTTGTTTATCCGCCAGAGGAGACTATTCCTCTTTGGGCTGTGCCTCAATAGGCATCTGCATTTACTGAGAGACTGCCCTATCGACGAAGTATCATTTCATTTCCATCCACTACTAACTATCATTTGTATGTGATCAAAAGGAGGAGCAAATTAGGAGGGGCTCGTACCCCTAATTTTACACCCTTGATCCTCAGGGTTTCTTCAAAGGGTATCGTACTATCTAATTGATGATAATAAAAGATGCCATTCGCCATCGTACCTTTCAGTTCATCCCAATATAACCTAGTGGTGGTTGTACTTCCGTTTACATTTCTGCACGAAGAATGTCAGTGCAGCGTTAAGGAGTGGGCTCACCATCTGCAAACTGTGGAGCCCCCTAATGCTTTGAGCCATCTGGTGTTCAAGAATAGTGTGATCGACACAGTTAACTTGCGACGCCCGTCACCACCGCAGGTATACCAGCGTACATTAATACCACTGAATAGCAACTGGATAGTAGAGAGGACATGGTGCTTGATGTTGTGTTACGCGTTGGGACTCGTGATCCTGGCGATCCTTCCATTTTCCTACGAGTGTTATTAGGCGGAGTGCACCTAATAGATAGTTCCCCCAGCCTGAGCGTTAACCCACGCTCAATGAGCTGACGCAGCGCAGAGATCTGAACTAATAGATCGACCAAAAATCCTGCCTCGCTGCTGTGCAGATGTTCAGTGTGGCCCGACATCCAATAGGAGAGAAACTTTTACGGCAAGCAAAGGGTGGTCCAGTGTTCGGGCGTACCAGAGTTGCCAGAATCTCGCTCAAGTTCTAGAATGGCAGTTAAGCCCGACGGCCACCCTTCTATATTGCTTCTGCCCCATTACAACAGCCGTTCAGCCACTCCGATGTCAGCCTCCCGCCCGACAAGCTTTTTGGTCGGATGCTAAGCTTTATTCTGGTGCCTATTCTTATCCGTGGACCATGCTTCAGTCCGAACCATGCCACGCAACTCTAAGCAGTGGAATGATGACAGCTCAGAATCAATCATTGTTGTTCGATCACGGAACAATTCCTCTGTTCTGCCTTTCAGTTCCAGCTGGATCTGATCTCCGCACAAGAATTCTCTAAACAACCCGAGAGAACTGTTGATATCTACACAAGAATTACCAGAACCAGATTTCGGAATTATGTCCGCAACACCACACCACATCAAGCTGAAACATGTGTAATAACCGGAGTCAAGCGAAGATGCATGCTGTTGAACATGCAAATCTTTATGCGGGCCCATGCACGCATCTGCAGGGGCTGACATGTGTCCTCTCTCTACCTCCAATATCCACGTCTGAGAGCGATAGTGCTGGACATGAAGAGTATTCCCCAAGCCAGTCAGGCATACGGTTGCCAAAGACTCCAGATGATGGGTAATTGAGCGGCGCACCCACGCTAGAGCAACTAGAGAGTGTCAGTACTGTGTGGCTGTGGTGGCGGGAGTTTGACCACGACACAGACTGTTTGATTCAACGCCCGTATACATGGTGCATACTGCTGACCCCTAATGACAGGTTGTTTCAGTATGACATTTGCCGTCCGACCAAAATCTGGTTTACTGCAGCGAGATATTGGACTGTAGATCAGCCACAACCGTCTCCCGTCGAGGATTGACCTAGTGTTTATCTACAGAGACAACTCGCGACTTTGTTCGATGCTTTCAGTTTAGAAGCTTCACATTTTACGGCTTTCCAGCTGGCGATTATTCACTGGCTTGCTTGCACTGTGTGCTAGAAGCTAGGTGAACAAAAGAACTGGCCCCGCTGATGGTATTGCCTTTGACACCAATCTGAAGGTGTGTGAGAACTGAGAAGAGATTTTGCGCTCGAGTGAGACATTGCCACCTCAACTCCACGTCGATCTTCTTCTCGCGCGACTGAAGACTGCGCCTTAGTGTCAATCGAGTCAGTTAACCTTTCGGCTTTGAAGGGAGATGCGGGAAAGATAAGCGTTGGAGAGGCTGACCGTTTGTGGCGGTTTTACCAAACAAGGAAATGTCCCCCATGTCGGGTTTTATTGGCCAATCAGGGGTCTTTTGGGCGATCAGTTACCCGGATAGGGCTTGTTGACCCCTGGGACTAAGCCATATGTGGCTAAGAGATGTCTCACAGTCCTTCAAAATGACCTCACCGCTTTCCTTTTCAGCTTGTATTGGGGCTGCCAAGATCCCACGGGGATTGCCTCAATGGGGAGTCATCGTCGCCCAGATGGAGTATCACGCAGATCTTGATCAGATCTTCTCCCTGGCATGGAGAGAGAAATCTCCATCGCCTCCTACAAAGACTGGATGTGTCTTACAGCTCCCCCAACCGGCCAGCAGTCATCATGAAGGCCCTCAAGGATGAGTACGATTTGGGGTACCGCAATCTCGAGGACCCAAAGGAACCCTCGACCCGCCCGTTATCGACCTCCAGACCATTGCTCCTGCAGAATCAGACCTCGAAATTCTGGTTGTCAGGCTGGACCTGGGAGATTGTGAGCTGTGTCACTGCCGTGGCGGCTCTGGTCGCCATCATCATCGTCCTCTACAACTATGATAACCGGCCTATGCCGGACTGGCCATATGGCATCACTCTCAATGCCGTGATTTCCGTGCTGGTGACCCTAATGAAAGCGGCCATGATCTTCCCAATTACCGAGGGACTGTCGCAGTTGAAATGGTCCTGGTTCAACCAGCGAAACCAACTGAGCGACCTGTCACTACTGGACGCGGCCAGTCGCGGAGCTTTCAGCGCCACCTTTGTTCTGTTCCGCTTTCTACCTCGGTATGTGTCTCTCACCAGTATTAATTATGCCCGACATATAGTCTTAACAGATAAATAGTCACTTGGTATCTATCGGATGCTTTATAATGGTGGTTGCTGCGGCCATTGCGCCGTTCGTGCAGCAAGTCATCAACATCACATCGCAGCCCGTCCACTCGCCCGATCATTCCGCCATTCAAGTCTGCAATACAAGCAGCTACGTCGACTATGGCGAAGGCGCCGGGCCGGGTATGAACAAGGTTCCTCTATCCACAACCGGGGCTATCTACACCGGTATTTTTCAGAGTGAAGGTCCTGACAGCAACACGGTTACCATGACATGTCCCACGGGGAATTGCACTTTCACCCCTTATCAATCGCTCGGGTTTTGCAGTCGCTGCGCCAACATCACCGACAGCCTCACCCTGCATAAAACATCGGTTGTTAGTACCATGGCCAATTACAATTACACCCTACCCAATGGATTCAGCTTTGAGACCTCCTGGAGCATGATGTATCTGATGAACGCTACCAACGGCCTGAACCTCGTCAAACTCGACACCGAAAACCTACCGGTGATACTGAACTTCACCGCCATCAGCGCTGCCGGCTACGGTGTGCCACCACAAATCAGCGCCACCGAATGCGCCCTCTATTTCTGCGTCAAGTCCTACGAAGCCTCGGTCCAAAAAGGCCGCTACAACGAAACCCTGGTATCTACAGCCTCATCCTCAAACTACTCCGCCACATCAGCGACCAGCGACATCTCGCTCACACCGGAAACATGCTATGTGAACGGCACCAAACACCCCGACCGCACAGACTGCACCTACAACGTTAGCTGGCTCAGCCGGCTAGCCATGTACAACTCTCTGACTCCCTTGATAAAAGGCAAGGGCTCACTCTTCGTCAGCAACCGGCCCGACTGGTCATCCGACACCATGCGCGCCGTCTACGGCGTAGAGGGCAATTACACCGACATCAACTCGATGTTCCAATCACTCGCGGGCGCATTGACAACCCATGCGCGCAACGCCGTGTGCAAGGCGTCCGTCAACGGCACGACCTGGACTGTCGAGTCATTCGTACACGTCAAGTGGCCGTGGATGATTCTACCCATTGCACTAATGGTCTTGACCCTCGTTTTCCTCATCACGACGATAGTCCGGACGCGGAACCAGTTTATCTGGAAGTCGTCGCCGCTGGCGTTGTTGTTCTCGGATGTGGCTGTGGAGGCACCACACGCGTTCGAGCGCAGTCCGGATTTGACCCATATGGAGGCGGCATCACGCAAGATGAAGGTGTGGTTGGAGACGACGACAGGAGGGGCGAAGTTGAAGGCAGTCGTGGGGTGATGCTACTACCACTTTGATGATGAGATATCCTATACCCTGTATACTAGTCATAATGTGTATAATATGTAATATAGTCTATGAGCAGAAAAGCAATTATGGTTATGAAGATGATACCTGGAGACAAGTTCATGAGACATAATGTTATGTGAAATAGTAATGAAGTAACATCCATATTCTGTACTCCCCATTGATCCGGTATGCTTGGCAAACTGGAGAATCTCCCCCCTTTTCGTGGTCCGTGTCCCGATGCTCCATTATTGATCCTCAAAAATCTACACTACGTCTTCATACTAGCAAGGGAAAGAAAATCCAATGATGAGGAATTTATATTATACACTAACTATATTCATATGGTCCATCCCCGACATACCCATTCAACATTTACAAATCAAAGTGTGTGCCACGGTATTAACCCATTTAGCACTCCTCGGTAGTGCACTCCTGAACCTTGAGGTAGGCAGCCTTGTACTCCGAGCTGTGAGCACCGTACCAGTAGACCTCCTTGGAAGGGACATCGCCGTAGCCATCAACAGCGAACCAGGCCCTACCGCCCTGAGTCAGGTAACCCTGCTCGTTGACGCCGAAGCCAGTGGTGTTGGCGTTGTCGGGAACAGCGCCGGAGTGAGGCTGGGTGAAGGAGATGGGCGAGACGCTGTTCTCGATGATGTACAGGTTTTGCCAGGCGGTAGGGACGGCGCCCTTGGCGAGGTAGGTCAGACCACCACCGTTGGCACCGCCGGAGACTGGTTATTTCATTTGTTAGTGAGATGAGGTTTGGTGAAGGAAAGGGGGTTGGCTTACGGATCAGCTTGGAGGTGCTCTTGGAGGTGTCGTTGCCGATGTAGACGTTCTCTGTCATCTTGTTAGTATAATGGTGGATGGGGATCCAGATGGGAAGGGAAGCATACGGCCATCAGTGAGGACGGGGGTGTTGTCCTCGGCGATGAGGGAGAAGCGCGCGGGGAGAGAAGCGGCAGAGACGGCGCTGGCAAGGCCGGCAAGAGCAACGATGGAGAACTTCATTTTGGATGGAGAGTGGGATTGAATGTGATGATCACAGAAGATGATTGTTTTGATGGTTTGTGGTTGTGATTAATGGCAAGATGGGGGGTGTTTAGCAGCGTTTATATACCCTTCAGGGAGAGGAGGTTAGGTCCACATCAGGGACAAGTGAAGTCATCTGCAGACTCAAAGATGAGACTGGTGGGTTCCTGATGGAGATTGCTGTCGCTCTGGGCTATCGATCGTCGGCACTATGTGAGACATGTCTTGGAGTCCCGCGCGTTGTGCCGGATTCCCCGGGTTTACTCTTCTGCAACTGCGGAGGGGTAGGCAATAACCATGATATAGCCGGCTGGTAACTGCAGTAAAGAGTCAAGTAAAAGTTCTTTTGAAAAAGTTACTGCATCTGCAACTCATACAGTACCGTGGAATCCTTCGTCAGGAGGTCAACGAATCTACCGGCTTATATTTCTGGCCTTGGCCGTTGATCGTCCCGATGTTTCAGATGATCTTCCCCCATGTTTGCCTCTTCCAGTCATTAACCTTAAACAGATCCTCGAGATAGACGATGATCAATAGCCAACGGAGATATACGTTGTACGGAGTAGGTAAGGCTGAACACCGCCACAGTGCTCTAATTGTTCCTGAAATATGAAATCATCATGAGCCACACAGCATTCTGGTTGACGGCAAGGGAGGGTTCCACTATGCCAAGGTCATCTTGCCATACTGAAACAGTGACGCTATTGACGTTTGGTCACTCTTGGCTAATCGATCAGCTTCCCCTATTGTTAACATCACCGTACAGAGTAATATCTCCGTGGTGGGGTGGGGTGTCGATCGATGACAGCGATCTGTCTTGCTTGCTGAGACAAGCGGCTGAAAGAGACGAGGCTGTGTTTACATCATATCGAAGTTGATTATACTCAGCTTATGCACAATAAATCCTTTACATGCATAGTTGTTAATACTTCCTCTATTTCATTAGGGAATGGGGCGAAGGGAGGGGATCAAGCCCAGTATATGCGGTAATTCCAGTTGCTTCCGATATTTATAGTCGAGTTCAGCGAGGGCTGTATTCGAAAGACTATAGTAATTGTCTTACCATAAATCAACTATACCAGGCATTGGCTCACTCTGCAGCAAGCTAAGAATGCCGGTCGGATTGCTTCCGAGACATGCTCCAAATTGTCTCCAACACACGCTGCGATGATCCCCCTGATGTCTGGGATGCGATGATGAAGAAACGAGGCTGGACTGGCCTGGCCTGGCGAGCTGAGCGAGTTCAGCTTCCAATGGAAAGTGAAACACATTTCCGGAATACAGAGATGCGATTAATCATTATCCAAACAATTATCGGAGCATGACTGGCTGGACAGACATCCAGGGCATGCACATGCATTTTTCAAGATGAAATTAGCCGGGCTGAGATGCGAACAGCATGAAGAAAGAAAAGACTCTATAGGCGACCGTGGAAGGTGGTCCCTATTGATACGGAGCCCGGGGAGATGAGATCTAGATGGAAGACGACCATAGGCAGTTCCCACAGTGAACTGTAGCCGGAGACTTGATAACCTATGCAGTGCTGAGAAAGAAAGATGTTTTGAACGCCCATACCCCTGTTTCTACCGGTATGTGGCCTCGGTTATTGCAATCGTATCAAGTTGTGTGCAGACACTTACCTAGGGTCAATCAGACCGAGACAGTCACAGTAGCTGACCTGACATCAAGAACAAACGAAATCACCGATAGATGTAACGTACACGCTATGATTCCAATGTCACCACAGAACGGAAATAATCGCTTCATTCGTTCACCCGGCCATCACGCTTCAAGCAAAGCGAGCCAACTCCTCGGCCGGTGCTGCGGGGAAGATAAGCGAAGACAGATGGTTGGACTCGGACTCCGCGAGCTGCAGCTCCAATGGCACCGTGGCATCAATGCAGGCAGCCGCCAGGGTTTGGCTGCAGGTGTCAACCACTAGTACTCTGATTGCTCGAGCGGGGAAGACCTGGGCCGTCAGACAATCTGCTGCAAGGGATGGCCTGCTGAAGAGTCCGTTGCTTTTGTAATTTAATTGCTGTCACCAACCTTCACCTGGACGTGACATTTATCTTCACGACACTGAATAAAAGGGGTGTATAATGACACAAAAATTAGTGAACATCATGAAAAAAAGGAACCAAAAGCATATTGGTGGCTGCGACACTGGCTGCAATGCTTCCCTGGCAAGCATACAGCTCCATCGAGCGCTCCAGCCTCCTGCCAACACCACCCATGGGATTCAACAATTGGGCCCGCTTCATGTGCGACCTCAACGAGACTTTGTTCACCGAGACTGCCGATGCAATGGCTGCTAACGGTCTGCGGGACGCAGGGTACAATCGCATCAACCTGGATGACTGCTGGATGGCCTATCAGCGATCCGACAATGGATCCCTACAGTGGAACACGACAAAGTTTCCTCACGGCCTACCCTGGCTAGCGAACTATGTCAAAGCCAAAGGCTTCCATTTCGGCATCTACGAAGATTCCGGTAACATGACCTGTGGCGGATACCCTGGATCCTACAACCATGAGGAGCAGGATGCCAACACATTTGCTTCCTGGGGAATCGACTATCTCAAACTCGACGGCTGCAATGTCTATGCAACCCAAGGCAGGACACTTGAGGAGGAATACAAGCAACGCTACGGACATTGGCACCAAGTTCTCAGCAATATGCAGCACCCACTGATCTTCTCCGAGTCAGCCCCGGCATACTTTGCGGGTACAGACAACAACACAGACTGGTACACTGTGATGGATTGGGTGCCAATATACGGGGAGCTAGCACGCCACTCAACTGATATCCTGGTGTACAGTGGAGCAGGTAGCGCATGGGACAGCATCATGAACAACTACAAGTACAACACCCTTCTTGCACGCTACCAGCAACCGGGGTATTTCAACGACCCCGACTTTCTCATTCCGGATCATCCGGGCCTTACGGCGAATGAAAAGCGGTCGCATTTTGCACTGTGGGCTTCTTTCTCGGCTCCTCTCATTATAAGCGCCTACATACCCGCGCTCTCGAGGGATGAAATTGCCTTTCTGACGAATGAAGCATTGATTGCGGTGGATCAAGATCCCCTGGCACAGCAGGCCACGTTGGCGAGTCGCGACGACACCCTGGATATATTGACCCGTAGTCTGGCGAACGGCGATAGACTGCTGACCGTGCTTAATAAGGGTAACGCAACTGTAACGAGGGGAATTCCAGTGCAATGGCTGGGTCTGGTCAATACTGGCTGTACATATACTGCCGAAGATCTCTGGAATGGCGATACCCAGAAGTTCGGCGATCATATAAAAGTTGAATTAGCCAGCCACGCAACAGCAGTCTTCCGGCTCAGTCTGCCAGACGAATGTTCTTCGGTAGTCCCAACCGGACTCGTTTTCAACACAGCATCGGGCAACTGTCTGACCGCCGCCTCAAATTCTTCAGTCACATTTCAGTCCTGCAATGGAGAGGACTCCCAGATCTGGCAGGTGACATCGTCAGGAGTCATTAGTCCACTATCGCAGACGGCACAATGTTTGACTGCCGATGGAAGCTCAGTGAAGCTTCAAGCATGTGACAGCATTGATGACGACGGCCAGAAATGGACGTATGTAGTCAGGGGGAATTTAAAGAATGCAAATGCAGATAGTTGCTTGACGGAGGGACCGGTGCAAATGAAGTCGTGTCTGGATGAGAGGGGTGGCCAAGTATTTGGCCTCCCGAGTGGCGTCCAGTTGTCGTAGGGGAGTAAGGGGAGAGTACGGGGAAGCAGAGGCATATGTGATTTCACAACTAGGCAGCTGTTTTATGTTGATATCTCAACAGCTACAAATGAGTGATATACGTCTCAAATGGTATTAGTAGGGGCACATGGTTTATTTTGCAATTGTTCCCGCCAATTCTCAATAGTCCCCTGTGTGTAGGAGCGCCCTTCAACTTGGACCAAGTTTGACAGACTCTAAGTAGGTAATTGAAATGTTAGTCAACAAGAGTCGCATAGTTATAGCATACTATACCTTGCTCTGTGTCTGGAACCTCGAGGGGCTAAGGCTCTGGCCATTCTTTCCCCAGGTTCGCCAAGCATTGGACCATGAAAGGTAGCTGGAATGCATTGGGAGATGCGGATTGTCCAATAGTCATATTCAGAATGTCATTGCGATTAGACCTGCATTCCTAAGCACGTGCATATCTTGAAATATGCTAATATCTTCTGCGAACCTTTATTCACCTGGAGTGCAGTCGACATAAGTCCCGCCAATAACATACAATCTCTTGGTCTTGAGCGTATCCTGAAAGCACGATCAAGGCTGCCTACAGAAGATCTTCCTAAAGAAGATTGGAATTACTCCGGTGGGATTCAAATCCTTCATATCAGCTACGGAAATGAAACGGCTGGACAGCAAGTCGCCAAAGCCCAGCATTCTTCGGCGCTATATCCACCAATGGCTCCACACAACGCAGGGTAACCCTCAACCTTAGAGTCCCATAGCTATTCATAGTCAACGCTTGATAGCCATCGTATATTGAAACTCGAGGAATGTGCCTCAACGGTCTGCACTGGAGCATAACAATGGCATTGTTGTATCGGGAACATTCCACGTACTTAAACACTTGACAGCGCCTATCATTGGAATGTACTGTACTGGGGTTCCTCAAGACAGGTCTGGCCCTGACGGGAGCTATTATAAATCTCTTTACCCTTCAGTTCGCTTCAGCATAGAAAGTCAAGTCTCCACAATAATCTGAATCTAATCCTTCTATCTCTGACACAGTGAACGGCATCATGGTTTCCGCCAAGGCTATTATGTTCACGATGATCACTGCGGTGATGGCGCAGAACAAGACCCAAATTGTATGTATACTTTCCGAATAATATTCTTCACATTAAATCAGTGAATTGCATTATCTGATTGAAACCCTACTAGGGCACCACGAGCGAATTCCGCGTCTGCACTGTAGACGCAAGACCCATCTACTCCGAATCCTGCATCCCCCTGAACCAAACTGGGTATATATCATACCGACAATCATTGAAATAGAGCCCGCTCTGACACAAGAGAAATAGGTCAACTCAGTTCAATGTTGCGGTCGGCTGTCGCCAGTATGGGTATGACCCCCGATTCCGAAACAGATGTGACCTATCTAGCTGACCGATCATCTCCTGTAGAAGCACGACATGCACCGGAAATTACGATACGGTGGGATACCGGAGTGACTGCTATGAGAACAGCCGGTTCTTCCAGAATTTTGGTACGATAAGCGGGAGCATTTATTGCTATCCTTCTTAGGGGACGATGGGTTGTTGAGACCTGTCTGAAGAGTCCGTGGGCACTATACGGGACTATAATATGCTTGGAGGGTATGCTTAGCTAGGTAGTGAATGAAACTGACTTGCTATTTCTGAGCAGCCTGGGTGTGGCATTATTAAGTGATAAGACAATATTGGGGAAGTTAGCAGCTTCTCACAAAACACCAAGACAACTCATATTACGGTCTTGTTTTACTCAATGTTCTGCGCATGTGGGTTGGTATCGGCAATTCCCGACGATATATTGGACACCCCACGTTGAGCGAAGGCCATCGACAGCGGTAAGCTCAAGGGATCGTTGGGGAAGAGGGACTCAGCCGAGAGAAGCCGCGAGAATTGTCCGCTGGTAACCTGAGTTCAGACCCACGGTCCCAGAGAGCGACTATTGGAAGCGACGGTACAGTAGCGGGCATTAGAGTGGATGATCTGGAGGCACCGATGCTTGTTCGCCGGCGCTAATTTAGGGCCATCGCTTAGAAGAAGAAAAGAACGAAGGTATTCCTCCGCCACGGCAGTTTTATCAGGCGTCGGAAATACTCTGAAAGACATGAAAAAGCGAGATCAGTGCTTTTAAATGGGTTTGAGTCATTGTCCATTAATTGTCTTACAAGATCAATGGCAGCATGGCGTGGTTTGCATGCAACATGTTGCAACAACTCAATTCCGACGATCACCGTCGGACTCCGGGTGGGAATCAGGGTTGGAGACCCATTGCTTATCACAACAGCCGACGCCAGTCGCTCTGGGGTGCATTTGCAGAATTCCCTTGACAAATCAGCTTTTCTTCAGTACCTCCCGGTCCGAACTGACCCAGTCTGCTAGCAGTTGGAGACATGCAATGATGCCATTGTCTCGTCCGATAAGCAAGGGCGGCCAGTCCCCCGTCCCTTCTGTCTGACTTGGAAAAGTTATAATGTCCGTCTCGCCGGCCTAGCGGTCAATTCGAACTCTTCGTCTGTTGTCCCTCTTAATTTCTCCAGCATGCGTTCCTCCGGTCTTTACACAGCACTGCTGTGCTCTCTGGCCGCATCGACCAACGCGGTTGTTCATGAAAAGCTCGCCGCGGTCCCCTCGGGCTGGCACCATCTCGAAGATGCTGGCTCCGACCACCAGATAAGCCTGTCGATCGCGCTGGCACGGAAGAACCTCGATCAGCTTGAATCCAAGCTGAAAGACTTGTCCACACCTGGTGAGTCGCAGTACGGCCAGTGGCTGGATCAGGAGGACGTCGACGCGCTGTTCCCAGTGGCCAGCGACAAGGCCGTGATCAGCTGGTTGCGCAGCGCCAACATCACCCATATCGCCCGGCAGGGCAGCTTGGTGAATTTTGCGACCACTGTCGACAAGGTGAACAAGCTTCTCAACACCACCTTTGCTTACTACCAAAGTGGCTCTTCCCAGAGATTGCGCACAACGGAGTACTCTATTCCGGATGACCTGGTCGACTCGATCGACCTCATCTCCCCGACAACCTTCTTCGGCAAGGAAAAGACCAGTGCTGGCCTGACCCAGCGATCGCAGAAAGTCGACAGCCATGTGGCCAAACGCTCCAACAGCTCGTCCTGCGCCGATCTCATCACGTTATCCTGCCTGAAGGAGATGTACAACTTTGGCAATTACACTCCCAGCGCCTCGTCAGGAAGCAAGCTGGGCTTCGCCAGCTTTCTGAACGAGTCCGCCTCGTATTCCGATCTTGCCAAGTTCGAGAGACTGTTCAACTTGCCGTCTCAGAACTTCTCCGTGGAGCTGATCAACGGCGGCATCAATGACCAGAACCAATCGACGGCTTCCTTGACCGAGGCTGACCTCGATGTGGAATTGCTCGTCGGCGTGGGCCATCCCCTGCCGGTGACGGAGTTTATCACTTCTGGCGAACCGTGAGTATTACTCCTAAGACAGCACTTGACTTGAAGCTAACAATGTAGTCCTTTCGTTCCCGACCCCGATGAGCCGAGTGCCGCCGATAATGAGAATGAGCCTTACCTTCAGTACTACGAGTACCTCCTCTCCAAGCCCAACTCGGCCCTGCCCCAAGTGATTTCCAACTCCTACGGTGACGATGAACAGGTAAGACCATACATCTCTCTCTGGAGATCTACATGCTAATCGGATCAGACTGTCCCGGAATACTACGCCAAGCGAGTCTGCAACCTGATCGGACTCGTCGGACTCCGCGGCATCAGTGTCCTCGAGTCATCCGGCGACGAAGGTACACTGCTCACCACCATCTTCCGCTAAAGCATACTTGCTAACACCAGCGCAGGAATCGGATCCGGCTGCCGCACTACCGACGGCACTAACAGCACTCAATTCAATCCCATCTTCCCCGCCACTTGTCCCTACGTGACCGCCGTGGGAGGCACCATGTCCTACGCTCCCGAGATCGCCTGGGAAGCCAGTTCCGGCGGATTCAGCAACTACTTCGAGCGAGCCTGGTTCCAGAAGGAAGCCGTGCAGAACTACCTGGCGCATCACATCACCAACGAGACGAAGCAGTACTACTCGCAATTCGCTAACTTTAGCGGTCGCGGATTCCCCGATGTTTCGGCCCATAGCTTTGAGCCTTCGTAAGCCCACACCCCTCTTCGATGATACTACAAGAATAGGACCTAACAAGGTTCACAGGTACGAAGTTATCTTCTATGGCGCCCGCTACGGCTCCGGTGGTACTTCCGCCGCATGTCCCCTGTTCTCTGCGCTAGTGGGCATGTTGAACGATGCTCGTCTGCGGGCGGGCAAGTCCACGCTGGGTTTCTTGAATCCCCTGCTGTACAGCAAGGGGTACAAGGCGCTGACGGATGTCACGGCGGGACAGTCGATTGGGTGCAATGGCATTGATCCGCAGAGTGATGAGGCTGTTGCGGGCGCGGGCATTATCCCGTGGGCGCATTGGAATGCCACGGTCGGATGGGATCCGGTGACGGGGTTGGGACTTCCTGACTTTGAGAAGTTGAGGCAGTTGGTGCTGTCGTTGTAGATTACATGTCTGTATTTGGGATGAGACTTTGTATGTGTTATGATGTGATAGTATGTGATAGTATGTGAGATATGTGTGAGATGATTTTTGAACTATGTACGATTTCCATATGGCTTGCTTTCTGCATGGTTCATAAGATGACAGAGGTTTTAGTAGAGATTTCGTAACCGCTTTTGTGTCTCATGCATCGTGACGGACAAAGTCCACAGACCCCGACGCGCCCATTATGAGTGGCTGATAAGGACATGCATCATTACTCCGTGGAAGCCCCGAAATTACACCCGACAGGGGTCAAGGGGCATATACCCAATTAATCACTTACCCCGCTTCTACCACCGCATAGGGCTGAGCGATGCGATGGTGAAATGGCCACCGATTTGCCGATTAGCCGTAGGGCCAGTTGTTGATTCCGGGATCACCCTACAACACATGCTTCATGCATAGGTGAACAGTGCTATTCGTCCATTGCCGCTGGTATCCGGATGTATCTACCCTGGATTCCTCTGCTAGTCTAATGAGCTACACACTATATCTGCAGTCAATGCAAGAGGGCCAGCAAACTCCGCTATGCCAGTGCAACCCAACTCCATCGGCCGAGTATGATATAAAACTCATTATTGGTGTGATTATAAATTAATCGGAAATGTACGCCTGACCCTCACTTGATATAGGGCGGAAGTATTTCAGGATATAATGGGAACGGGTCATCCATACACTCTAACGGACATTCGCCCCGGTCATACGACACCTGCACGGGAACCCGCAGTCGCAAATTCGCACTCCTCGAGTTATCTACATCGACCGAAACGAAGATGGAGAGGCTGTACCGTCGGGAGATGTACGGATGGGTAAACGTAGGAGGGAGGTAGTCGGGCGTGTCGAAGTTGAGGATCAGGGGGGTAGTTGCTTGGTATGTTGTCGGTTTGTCTGTCATATCATACAAAGTCAGGAGTGGTAAAATGTACTGAGAGCGCATCACGTACCCTGATTGTTAAGATCGCAGTCCTCCCATGATGCGATACGCAACTTCCGCGCCTGTGTACAACCCGTTCCTGTCGTATTCGCAACAAGCTTGAAATCCAGCAACTTGTTGGCGTCCCCCTCTAATGGGAGTCGATCTTGCGGAGACACAGAAACAAATGTCGTCGCGCGAAGAGAGGTCTGGATGCTGGCATATATCCCGTGGACATTTGCGTGTTGTTCCGACGGATCCAGACAGCGGTACTGCCATTTTAGTGGAACTACCGTAAACACCATTCCCGAATTATTTAGGTACAGTGGGGCAGGTTCCTCCGTCTGCACAGACAGATAGTATAGGTCGCGGCGATGTAGTCTATCGCGAACACGTCGTGACGATGCGAGGTTATATTCGCCAGGAAAGTCGGGAATGCAAATGGGAGGGGCACACTCTCGAGCCGGTGCAAACGTTACTGGCGCTTCAGTCTCGGCGATGCATTCTTCGTGGTCGAAGAGTCGGGCTTTGAGAAAGTATTCTATGCGGCCTTGCCCGCGCAGTATAAGATCGTTGGAGTTGTAGACTGGCATGGGTTTGAAGGAGAGAGATGGGGGTAGGAGAGTGGTGTCATATTCGTCGGACGAGACGGAGTTGGCGGTTCGGGGGATGTTGAAGTGGAAGGGGTGTAGGAGGGTCCGTGAAGTGTTGGCAGTGTTTTGTTGTGCCAGTTCGCACACATCAGATGCTCGGAGGAGCTGAACTGAGTTAATACAAAGATCTTATCGAGAAGGGCGCAAGGTCATTTTACTGTGATATTCTTTGCGAGTCGCAGCAGCTGTGTTGAGACATTCAGATTGACTGCTGTTGATAGATGACCTGGTATAGCGGGTTAAAACCGGAGAATAATTTCTTCAATGGGAAATTTACCTTCAAAGGTCACTTCGACGAGTAATTGTTGCGATGAACTGGCAGTCTCATTGCCTGGCATCGATACAATGACATTGCCGTCAAGGTGACCGTCTGTGATGACATGGCTGCTGCTTGCTGAGAGTACCTCTGCATAATCTGACGACGTACAATTTCTCCCTGATTGTTGATTGACTTGAATGTGAATTCGCGGAGCCATCATGAATGTTTTAAGGATACCACTGTGACCATCTTCGCCGAAGGAAGCGGATAGTTGTAGAGGAAAAGTGAAAGAACCCAGCACGCCGAGCTAGCCCGCTAAGAATCAGGTGAGCACGCGCCGGAGGAAATTACTCTTCGAGACATGGACTGTCGCAGTTTAGTAGGTCATCGTGCAGGCTGAAATGACGCTATCAGCCCGTCTGGCCCCTAACAGGGATGCATCCTCCCTCCCGATAGGGCTGAAGGGGGCTCGACAGGGATCTGAGGGATTTTCCGGATTGTTGGCCGCGCCCCGTGCAGCAGGTTCAGTCATGGTGCCTCTTGTCCAAGCTTCGACTAACGCCATAGTGCTTACTAGCACAAAAGCTTAGCATACGTGGCTAGAGAATTGATGGACAGGATTTGTTGCAATTTGCACGGGTCTGGGCGTTGACGTTGCACAGCAGCTGCTGATAGTCGGTCAGATGGAGCACGCTGTCAGATTTTAGGGGCGCTTTGGTGGTTCTATCGGCGGCGGGTCATAGTTCCGGGCTCACTCTTGCCGAGGGTAGTCTCGGTGAAAGGGGCTGATCGGGTGGACGCATTGCAATCCATACTCTGTGTTATGATATAGAACGAGATTTACATCATCTAGGAGGGAAGAGGCTGTTCGATATCGGAGATGGGGTATAGTATTCCCAACGTTTGATTTAAGACTAGTAAGTAGTCTATTGTCTAACCACTCAATACATATATGAGAAAAATGTTGTACAGTAGAAAGTAAATCCCGTCCCGTAGACGCACGCTTAGCGATTTTCAGAATCCTCAAGCACTGGTAGAAGAGGGCATAGCACCGGACATGGACATGGAACCCGAAGGAGCACCACCACCACCAGAGCCACCACCCATGGCAGCGCTGTCCGAGTTCTCGTGACCGCCGTTCTCATCGTAGTAAGCAGCAATGCTGTAGTAGGAGTTGTCGGTGTAGTCGGCAGTGGTGTTGATACCGATCTGGATCCAGGCGAACAAACCGTCCTCGATGCTGTCACCGAGGTACAGGAACTCCGGGAAGGGGTCGTAGGCGCTGGAGGCCTGCTCGACACTCCACATGTCGTCGGCATTGCTAGTAATATCTTGGGTGTTGGTGGTGTAGGGGTAGGTGTTCTCAATAGCGGTACGCAGGACCTCGTTCCAGAAGAGCTGGCCGATGTGGGCGACGCTGCCAGTGCCCACTTGAAGGGTGCCGTTGTTGCGGTTGATGGTGGAGTTAAGGTGGGTCAGGAGATGGGTGTGGATGGCGCGGCCGTCGTAGTGACCGGGGAAGATGGTCTGGAAGGTAACAACACCATCCTCATCGGTCTCTTGAATACCACGGAGGAAGGTCGAGTCCCAACCGTCGGCGGCGTAGTTGCCACTGGTGGAGATACCACTACATACTTAGCTCTGATCAGATGATAGGATAAAAAAAGCACCATACCTGTAAACACCGGTAGCGTTGGCGTTCCAGATGTCGACCAGAGCACCCTGCACAGGCAGGCAAGTGTTGACATCGATGTACTGCACCTCGAGGAAGAGGTCGACACCATCACAGTACTTATCCTCCTTGACGTTCTGACGGATCACTTCACCCCAGACGTAGTAGGGGCCATCAGTGATGGTGGGAGTGAGGATGGAGCTGGTGTTGGCGCCGAAGATGTCGGCCTCGGAGGTCTGGGGGGAGTAGTCAAGGAGTCCGGTCTTGTTGTGGTTGATGGCTTCCCACTTTTCGAGAGCCGCGAGGTTCCGGCGGAACTTGTGGGGAGCTATCTATGGTTAGACGATGCAATCACGGTTTGCCAGTTCAGGCCTGCTTACCAGCAGTCACGCCCCTCTTGGAGCGCAGCTCACGGGCAGTGTTAGCGCGGCGGGAGACGGAGCGCTGTTGAACCTGTCTAGCCTGGTGGCTGTTGGAGCAAGCATTGACACCATGTCTGGCCTGCTCAGCAAGGGCATCGCGAAGGCGAATCTCCCGCTTGACGGCCTCATGGTCATGTTTCTCGCCGGGGTGGGCGAAAGCCAGAGTGGCCGCGGTGAGAGTGAGGAGCTTGGAGACATGCATGATGAAGCTATTTGAGTGAACGAGGTGATTGAGCTGCGATCGTGCTGTTGATGGCCTTCGAGTCGTGGCTGATGGTCATGATATTTATGCTCGACATTGTTGATGCCTCTTCTATAGCCGCGTCATCCAGTCCCATACTGGCGTGGCCGTCAGGCTACCCTGTGAGCCGTAACCGACTCCCTAGTAAAGATATCTGATATCTCAACTGTCAGGGGACTCGTCATCACGTACCCTGGCGGCAATTGGAAACCCTAGAGGGACTCCGAGATGCCGGCTGGGCAATGGAAGCTTCTTGGCGCCGCGTACGTGGATCCGCAGCGGAGGATAGAAGCTCAGGGAACTTGACCCTGGAAGGTGGATGATCGACACGCATCACGAATCATTGTCATGCAATTAGTACACATGGAGCGTCTGACGTTATCAGATCAGGGATCCGGACAGCGTCCGCGGGTCTGGGGTATTCTTCGCGCCTTGGCTGTTGCTTCCGCCGATTCTGGATGGTGGCTCAGTGGTTTCATCTGGCAAGCCAAGGCCAGGGCTGATTTTTAGTCACTGTCATTGACACTCTATCTGTGTAGTGATTCGTAATCTCTTCAATGACCTAGATTACGGGAGGCTGTTGTTGCGTGGAATATGGCAGGGTTTGTCTGGTTGTGATCTTGTCCGGGCTCCGCGGTGTCCGAATTTTCCCCTGCAACGGTGGAGTTATGCAAAGAATAGAAGCACGGGCCGCCGAATACACCTAAAATTGTGTTTCCGAAGCAGACCTGAACCGAAGCAATGTGTGCGCGAGGCGAGGCGCAGTGCAAAACAGAAGTGGTTGCGTATAGCTTCTTTACGTCTTGAAACGGCAATGATTGCTGCACATCCGGTTCAAAACTGCCGCTTAGTCAGATCCTCCGTCTTCCTCGGCCACTGAAGGCTCAAATTCGGGCAGTTGTGGATGCTTTCCACTGCCATCCCCGAGCCGATGACGCACAAACCATCCGCCCTTGTTATTCGTCGCGCCGGAAGAAAACCGTCGGAGCATGACTTGCTCCCGTCCCTGGTTCAGATGTGATATTTCGGTTAACGTCTAGTGGAGCTCCACCATCCAGTGAAACTGCCAGAGGAATAGTATATGTTGTGACGGGTTCTGGACAATCTGAGCGCCTGCATCGCATGACACGCATGGTGAACTCCTGGACGTTCAACTTGATCATTGACAGAATCTGCGCCCGCTGGACATAATTCTTCAATCTCTGAGAATGATCAAGGCTGCGGTGTTGATTTCTTGCAAGGCTCTCTACCTTCAGAGATCGGAGTAAGGGTGTAAAGACACTTCAGTCTTCACACACATATTGTCCCCACGTCGGAATAATCACCCGAACCCTGTCCTAAGCCGTAGGCAGATGGTGTTGTATCACTCGCACATCTAACCTTCTGGAAGTCATAGCTAACAACGGATCATGGAGCGTTTAGCACGTTTGGTCGTGTCCGTCAGAAGTTGGGGAAAGAAGCACCAGAGAAGAAAATACTAAAATGCAGGACTGGGCGCAACCTGTCTTTTTTGGGGTTGGGAGGTGCTGTAACCCGTATAGGGCGCGAACTTTATGAGATCGAGTCTGTCGCTGAACACTTGACATATCGTGAACCTCTAGATACTCACCGCTGATGAAACAAGTAAGCTTGCGTGTGATTATATTGGGAGCGGGTGCATTAGTGGCCTTCATCTGCCAAAGTCGGGCACACTGATCGGCGCGCATCCCCCAGCCACCGCATCATTGACCTTCGCCCCGAACCCCTGCTAACCAGACCACTCCTCAACGTGCAAGGATCAAAGGAACCTAGTACTATTATGGCTTCACCCAAAACCGAGCTTGACTATCGCGTTACCGACGACGTCGGCTACGGCCTTGGTAACGAAACCGCAGCCGCATTTCGACTCAATGGAATATTTCACTTCTGGAAAGAGCACCTCGGCTTCAACATCCACCCGACCATTCGGGAGTCCTTGCAAACCCCAAATCCCCGCATCGCAGATGTAGCCACAGGCACAGCGATCTGGCTCATAGACCTGGCGAAGGAGCTTCCCGATGCGACCCTCGACGGGTTCGATCTCACCCTCGACATGGCGCCCCCGGTGGAGTGGCTCCCACCAAATATCACCTTGCGGCAGTGGAATATCTTCGAAGACCTACCAGAAGAGTTAGTGGGACAGTTCGATCTCGTACATCTGCGACTACTCCTACCAGTCATTCAGAATGGCGATCCCTCATCAATCATTCACAAGATCACCCGCATGCTAAAGCCCGGAGGATGGATCCAATGGGATGATTTGAACATCCAGGAGGCAAAGATCTTCAAAGCCAGGCCCGAACTCAAGGTTGAAGCGTTGGGATACCTCTCTCGTTTTTGGAATACCGGCGAACGGCAGGAATGGATTGGTCGTCTTCCGCAGAGTTTTGACCAAGAGGGACTGAAAAGAACGAGCATTGATCGATATGAAAATTTGAAGCAATATCTCAAGGCCGACTGCGAGGGATATATCGTGACTTGCGAGGAAACTGCCCGGACACTTGCCAGGAAGGGCAAGGTAGATGAAGCGAAAGAATTCGCTCAGATCGTTCACCAAGCATCGCTGGAAGCTGCGGCTGGCGCTGCCGTGGTGGCTACTAGGGTCGTTTGTATTGGGCAAAAGCCGGTTGAGCCGTGAACTAAGCCATCACCCGGAACGAGGTAGACACGCTATTTAAGAGCCGGGTGAAGATGATTTTGATTGAGGGGTGGGGTGTAAATACATGGTGTGGTTTGCAGTCCATGTGGTGGGACACCCTTTCTCCATATCACCAAGAAGAGGACTTTTGGGCAGAGATCAAAGTCTATCTGAAGATGATAAGACTGCACTGATGACATTGATAATGCCAGTAGGAAATATTTCTCGTAGTTCAAGACGTTGTCGTATCTCCATCAATGCCGCACACCTGCACATCAGTGCTACCCGTTTCGTGCCACGAATAGCGTCATCACCGTCAGCATACCCTCATATAATCCATAGCACACTAGCTGCATGTCTAATTGGCTCCAGTTGCTGTTCAGTGTATCACAAATAACCTCAATTTGATTGTCAGTTAGTGTAAGCTTGTGTGACCACCCATTGGGCTCAAATAGTAAAAATAGAAAATATCTACGGAGTACGCAAAACCGATATATTCTTTCTTCAACGCCATTCTTCCCTATTATATATAATGCACCTTTCTTAATCCTCCGAGTTCTACCAAGGATATGTAAAGCATCTCCACCTCGAGATATATAGTTGAAGCATCATCAAACCCAACAAATCCCAGCTTCAAAGGATCCCACCACATCTACGAACCATTCTCACACCTCCTCAAAAGCTCCCACAAATGTGGCCGCAAGAACTGCCTCTCCAGCCCCAGCGTCTCCGCCAAATACGACCGCCAGTTATCCTCCAAACAGAGCAAATCCTTCGGCTCAACCTCCCCGAGCGCCTGCACAATCATGAACCCGAGATAAGTATCCTCGTCCTCGAACGGTCTCGAGATCTTCAGCCATCGCGACCCCGGAAAAGCATGTAGAATGTCCCCATCGATGCAGCGGCGCTCGAGCGCCTCGTAATCATTGTCGTCGCAGTGAAAGGTACAGGTTAATAGATAACGGTCGGGGCCTATGCATACATTGGTTGATTAGCAATGATGTACGTAGACGTAAACAAGTTGGCATACATACCAGTATTCCCCTTCTCATTCCCCTCCCCGTTCTTTAGTATGAAGAGTTGCTGGAAGATTCTTGTGTCAAATTCAGCAATTTCTAAACACGACTTGGTCGTGCCCAACATGCTGTGTGTTTTCGGGATGCGGGCGAAATTTTCCGGCTCCATGAAATCTAAATCGTCGCAGTCGTATGCGGCAAGCCAGCGAAACTGTTTCTGGGGCCCTAGAGCTCGGAAGAATTCTCCTTTTGTCACGGAGCCTGTCTTTAGGACATCGGGGACATGATGTTCCTGGTACCATTTGCTGAAGACCTCGTCTGTGACGGTGGGATCTCGGAGGCGGGATGAAGCGTAAAGCCAAAGTTTTGAGGAAGACATTGTTGTGACGCTAAGAGACTGCACAGGGTACTGGAATCGAATATCCTAATCACTCGAATGCGTCCATATCAAATGCGAAAAAGAGAACGCATGGTCGATAGATATGTTCTGACATGGTCAATCGTTACCTCGCTCGGGATCAGAAACAACGACCTTGTTAGGAAACCACATTGACCTCTCGAATTGATATCAGATTGTATCGTGAAATGTGCGATGCGTCATATGACGCTATTCCCAGAGTGCCCGACGCCACGTAACTGAGCGACCAAGATCTTGCGTTGCACTACCCGGACACAAGAACTCTGGCCGTGCTTGCTCAACTTTCTGGTCACTAGATCCCACCAATGAGTGTATATGGATCAACGATGAACCATGGAAGTCCCGTTCTTAAACTAGGCTAGTCAGCAATGAGTAGTAGTCTCCGTCGTAGCAAGCTGGTCGAGAAGTCGATGCGACATCCTGTCAACGCATTGCCATCCTGTATACACCTTGACCGACATTTCATGAGCTGAGTGAAATCACATATGTACTGATCATCGGGAAAAATAGCAATGAAAAGCAGACTTGAGTCGGAATAAATTGTACCATAAACACGATGATAGTCTTTCGCTAAATCACTTCATGAAACCTTTTCAGAGTGGTTTCACTGGCCCCCTGCGAATTTGCAAAGTTAGATCAGTGATCCACCCAAACTGGGTTCTGGACCTGTCATTGAAACAATCCGGCATGGATCGACATCCAACTGCAGGCAAAACGCATGTCACACTCATAACAAATGGAATTTAGGAGGCGATCATACCGCCTACAATGATCTCCCTCTTTGCGGCAATTTCCTGCTTGAGGCTCTAGTTGAATCTAGGCCACCACTCGTGCTGAAAGTATATCGATTATGGTCACACCCAGTTTCACCTGAAGTTTGCGTTCGGCCCCAAAAGAGTAGGAAGCAGATAATAATTGGCGTTGTATAAGCCGGTCGCATGCTTTCTCCTTCCAAGCACTTTCCTCGTCCCATGCCGAGGTTTCAGAAAGTTGCTCCATTTCACAGATGATGCTATTATCTCAGTCACTCAATGTCAAATTCAAGTTTCAGATTCTTGGATCAAAATCCGTAGTTTAGACTTCTTGTTGCTGTCATATATGCGATATCCAACCCTGGTATCTAGGTTAGTTGCACACACTATACAGGCTACTGTACGATTACTTCACGACCAGCCTGTCACGCCTAAAAACCGCTCCCAAAACTGGAGTAAGCCGCGACCGACCAAGAATAAGGTCTCTCCGAAATACGAGAATTAAGCTCAGAGCATAAGGGAGTAGATATTGTATCCGTACCTGCGATGCCGTTCTCAGTGCCATGGTCCCAACGTGAACACTGCCAGTGCTGTTTCCTTGCGCACTGTCCCCTCCGGCAGTGGCTGCGGCCGGAAAAAGGGTGATCCACCGCATTACTTCAGGAGAAGTCTGTGGAAAGTCAAAGATCCAAGTGGCTTACTGGCGTGCAACTTGGCGAAAATAGTTACTTGCTTATCTTCATGGTGGCTGAAAGTAGACGACGTAGCTGACACTAGCCGGCTTCACGTCGTGTGTAACCCCTTCCGCGCGTGGGCTATAACCAGGTAAGACTGGCATATAATGTCCAAGCATGAATAAAAACAAAACAGTCTTGATTTTGTGTTATCCGACTCTAGCTGCTCACTCGGTTTGGGAGGCCTAACACCCTTATTGGTGCAATCTGGATGTAACAGTCCTGCTAATTGTTCACCCAATCATCGGAAATGGGATGTATAGGACCACCCAAGGCGGGTAATGATCTTCGCCCTGGTTGTGTAAGCCCACCTCCTTGCTCAGCAATACGAGATATTATGCGACTTGTATATCTCGAGACAGCACGGAAATGTCAGGGCTCACTACCACGTGTATAACTGCTTTCCTACTCCGTAGCCCTCGACGGTATGCTGCAAAGCGCACCCGCACGAAATCGCTTGGGCCTGAGTTCTAGGTCGCAAGGAGGGTAATTGGCAGCGTATTCCCCCCCCCCCCCCCCATTTCTCCACCCTTTCCCCCGCAATCCATACATTTCGCTTGTATCTAGCGTGGTCTCTCATTCTGACAGCCGTCTGGATATCCAATTTGGCTCATTGCAGGATGCCCAATTAGGCGTACCACCTCTCAGAACACGTGGACTGATGCATGGACGTCTCAGCGGCTCTAGGACAAGTAGGAATGCTCATATCTGAGCCTTAAGGCTGAAGTAGGCGTCAGTGCAAGGTACTACTATACTGTCTTCCATGTGATGAGGAAGATGAGGGAGAGGCTGTCAGACCATGCCTCCCTGCCGGATTACCCCGACCGCTCTGTTTCTGTTTGACTCAGGAAGGCTTGCGAGCGAGTGGCAGCGATTGGAGGAGCCAAGGGCTGGGCGCGGTCATCTGCAAGCACCAGGAGCCGTGTTGGAAGCTTTGGTAGCTTTGGCCGGCAGCGCCACGTCGGATAGATCGGCCGCCACCTACGTTGCTCTGGATCAGATGGAACA